GGCAGCGCCAGCGGTGACTATTGAAGATCGACGGTCACACGCGGATGTTGGTCTAGGGCAGAAAGGTGCCTGATCTTCAAGGAGCTCAAACTATTGCCTTAGGATACTTTGTTTCTGAACTGAAGAGTTTCTGTTTACGCCAGATGAGAATTTAAACTCAATAGTCAGCAAATAGTCGGTTGTTAAAAGACAATACAATAAAAGGCCAGGTGCCCAATGCGAATAACAACTGGATGGGGTGTCTCAGAATTGAGACGATCATCCAGTCGGAGACTGTTCTACTGGAAAGGGAAAAGGGGGAGGACGAGTATTTTCAAGCATTTATTCATTTTTTGATCTATAGATCATCATATATATAAGCTTGGCCATATACCCAAGGCCATCCCATCATGCATGCCCGACAATAGGGGCTCCATACATGCCTTCGTAAGAGTAGAGAATCATCAATGGTGCCCAAGCAGTGGACACTAACAAAATTCTAGACGCCAATAGATGCATCAAGTCGATAGCTGAAATCAGTCCAAAAAACGCCGTGCCTGCCTAGCCTATGAAAGCCCAAATCAGACAAAAGGGTATCACGAGAATATACACTGGTGCAGAAACAATCAATCGAAACAAGACGTAATCAGTACGCCTCGATGAATGTGCTCTGCTCCTGTCCAGTAACGTAATACCCCGGCCCATATTCTGGGTCGGAAAGTGGAAGCTCGGCCGATTGAGGCTGCTTCCCTGAGAAACTGGCCAGCGTGGGTTGCGGCGGTGAGGGAGGCGCAGCATCATCCTCCGAGTCCTCGTCAGAGTCCGAGGAGAGCTCGGGAGGGGTTTGTCGTGATGCTGAGCGAGTCAATGAGAGCTCTTCCAGATCTTCGTATTCAAAATCCGAGTCCGAGTCCGAATCGTAGTCCTCATCCACTTCCTTCTCGGTGACGACAGCCACGGGCGATGGTGCCCGTTGCCGGATGGGCTTGAGGATCGTGGCAAATTCTTGTTCCTCTTCGTCGTCTTCAGCATCAGAGTCCGAGTCGTCACTGTCGAAGTCAAGGTCGGAGGCATCTTCGGGATCCCAGTCTTCCTCGGATTCTTCAATCACAGTGTCGGCCCATTGGATGTGTCGAGGCTGTGAGCTTTGAGAGGATTTGCTAACTCCGTTGACAGTCTGGTTGAACCAGCGTTCCTGTTCCTGCTCGGCATCGGCGAGATCCAGCATCAATGAATCAAGCAGGTTGGCATGGCCAACCAGGAGACGGAGATCGTGGTCCGCCCGTGAAGCTTCCCGGGTAAGCTTCTTGCGGGCGGTGTGAGCAAGGTAGTATGTTTGCGTAATGCTCATTTTCTTCTGTTGACGTCGTTGGGCGATTGACTTGGAGTATGTAGAGGAGAAGGTAGTTGAGAGAGAAGGAGAAGACGAAGGAGAAGGAGACCGTGTTGTGGAGAAATTTACAACCATGATTCCAAGATTCGGGGTGTTGATGTGCTTATGAGCTCAACCAAAGATCGATCAGAAAATTGACTCGTCCACTGTGGTGAGTCAAAGACTGGACTATGGGCTGCGCTTCTCGTTTCAGCGGTCGGGCCCACCTCCAATACAATCGATTGTAGCACAGAGCGGTGAGTCAAGCGATATGCAAGCGGTCGGGTAGATTGCAACCTTCGGCCAAGCCAGGGAAAATGTAGGGGGAATTCAATAGTCCCCTTATCTTTCTTTCCACCAGATCGACTCGTATACTGATCAAAGTACGGCGCAGATGTGTTCGTCCGATTTGCAATGTGAGATCACTGGTTGTCTGTTCGACCGAGTGTGGAACAGCCACAGGTGCTAATGTATCCTCTACAACTGAGGATGAAGATACTTGATGGCTGGATGATAGTAGTAGTGTGGAAAGTAGAAGATATCAATGAGACAGGTTTCACCAGGGCGAGATGGGCTAGATATGAATTTCTGATATATCCACTTTGTTGTTGACTAGGCTAAAATTTCTTTTTCCTTTTTAATCCTCTTTCTCCATTATTCATATATTCTTTCTATTTCTCTTAGTGATGTTTTTTACCTCTGGCTGCCGTGGTCCCGTCTAAGTCCGAACGGCGATCGGACGCCGGAGCGAAAGCGAGCCTGACATCCATGGCTCGGACGCAACGGGGACAACTGGATCCACCTGAGAAGATGAAAAATAAAAAAATGAAGGGAAAACCAGCCATTCTGATTCAGCCCTGGCGATCAACCGATCAATGGCGATCCAAGGAACCACAATGAAAAATTAGTCAGACAGGCAGTCGCGAATACTGCAGGCTCACCGCCCCCTTCCGGCAGCCAATGAGTAACAATGACTCACGCCCTTAATTCCGCCAAGCTTATCTCCTTTAGGCAATTCCTGGCCGGAGGTGCCGATCCAGCCCTGCAACTGGGGCTCGGATGACCAATCTTTCCGCCCCGTTCCCTCTGACCCTTTGGTGATTGCTGATGTTATGAACACTATTATGATTGCAAATCAACAAACGATCTTTCTTATATATACAAATGACGGAAGAACGCTGGAAGGTTCCAGGATTCGAGGATATCGAGCTTGTCGAGAACATTAGATTTGAAATCACCCCTACCTTAAGTTTACAAGCGGGTTTATCACGATTAGTGAACGATGAACAATTATAGTCAAATTACACAGAACATAGCCTGGCAAAGTTGAGTCTAAGACGACACGAGTCACATCCTACTCTATGTGGATCTCCAAAAGAAAATAAATGATCAGACCTTTGCTTTAGAGACTTGGATAGTAGGTAAGCACTGAACTGGCGCTTTCGGTCCAATGCCGACCGCATTTTTGGGCTTTCGTCGATAGGTACCACTTAGGTAGAAGCCTACAGGAGTGGTGTACCTAAACGAATGCGAGGATGCATCCCGTGCCAGTATCACTCCGCTTTTCGACAGGTTTTAGAGTTCGTCGGAGTGACCGTTTCGACCAGACGCGGCGGAAGAGTGCGGATTACGGAATTAACATAACCGACAGATTGGATCCTCGTATTCTTATTCTGATCCTTCAATTTTATCTGATTACCCATAGGGTTCCCTAGTTAATCAGCCTCAAATGCTGAGGTGATTCTGACAAGCTGTCACTAATCCTATCGGAAGTAGGGAGTACACTGCCCCATCATGTTCTCGTATCTTGCAGGCTGAATCGGAAATTAGGGCATTGATCAATCTAATCTCCTTGGTTTGATAGCAGGTGCCCACGTAAGCCATAAGCGATGAATTCTAAGCCATGCTCCGGCATAAGGCTGCCATATTCTGACTTTCAACTCCGTACTTGCGGAGTACTGAGTCCAATCATGGTTCGCATGCAATTCACACTGTCACAGGTTTACAATGAGCACCTTATGGAAAGCCGCTACCCAGTCGAGTTTCAGTTCCTCGCCTGGGCAGCAAGATGTCGGACAAGAGAATACACCCAACCTTTTCAATATCTTTATACGATATCAGGCAACAATGGAGCCTGCCAAGTCCGAATAGGCTACCTTCATAAGTCCGATGTATTACATTCTCCTGATTTATGGTTATCATTTATCAGGCAGGTGAATTACCCCAGTGCACCGCCCTATGGCTGAATCATCCACCACAAGCCAGCTAGTGTGGAGGAGCTGCACTCAAGTGGGTATTATCTACGACCTTATAATTCAATGAGATATCTGTAGGATAAAGAAAAGACACTCCTTAACCCTTAAACAAAGACACTTTCAAGCAATGAGTCAGTGTTGTCTAAGTATTTCTCCTGATCAAGCATGAATTACCAATGATTAGCAACCACGTTGACTTGAATATGACAAAATGCCAGCCATGGTACTCCAAAGGCCGACTCCGATGCGATTCCTCGCGTTTCCCGGGTTGCACGTTTTGTATACAGTCCGAACCCGGTAGTAGCTACCATCCATCTTCCATAGTGACGTCAACCATTTCTAATCAATTTCCATCCACATCATATCTGGGGAAGCCATCACAAATAAGCATCCATACACATACGATGACTACTTTCGATCATTCCAGACAATGAGATTGTCGAAGACGAAAGATTCCATCACGAAAATGACATTGTAATGTCGATGTCGATGTCGCAATCAGAGAAACATCACCTTACAGATCAAGGTATCTAGGCGCACGTCGACTTCTCCCGACGTCGTCGACGACACTGCCAAAGCCGAATATCGAAGCAAGGATCTGACCTACAGATTCCATAAGGGATAAGGTAATGACACTCAAATATGCTTGACATCACACTCAATCAACAACCACCTCGATAACATCACGACAATCAAATACACTTATCAGCACCAATCACCGCTGATTTTTCTGCCGGACATTCGAAGTAAAGAAAAACCAGCATAACCCCACGTCCCTTATCACCGTTAGTAACTATGCTTTATGCTTATGCTTATGCTTGTGCTTATGCATTGTGCATTACTCACATAAAAAGCATGGTAAAGGATAACTAATCGGCGACGGGAGTCGGGCCTTTCTCGCTCCAGTCGCCGATTTCCTCGTCCCGTCTACACTGATTTCTCTACGTTCTGCCACGGACCGGACCCTGGACATCTGCCCTCGTCCGAGCAAACTATGTAGAGCCGAGGTCCGAAGAAATTTGCGGTTCAGTTCGTACGAAAGGAAAAAGTCACTTGATCGGGCCATATCAGATGAGTTGCTGGATTAGGAAGTAAATTTTCGATCTTTGTCAAATTTGGCCCTGGTCTAGCTGTCTAGCATGTGATGCGCAATTTGAGGCTTATCCTTCCATGCAGTGGATAGTAATGCACATTTGATTACACAAAGATGTGGCTATGAAATACAGGGGTCCCGGAGGAAATGTTAATGCTACTGCAAGAGTTTAAATCTTTGAACTATTTACAAATGAAGCGAAATGCGGTCGTCCGACCTCGTCTATCCTAGAACGACCCACGACTCACCTGATCCTGAGCTGCCGGTCCCCAACCCGACTCCACTGCCACCACGACTTAAATTAAACACACTGGTGGTAGTAAGGGTTCTGCTTAACACAGGTGTAGCCGCTCTCGCAGGTTGTAGGGCCGGTCCAGTTGATTCCACCGCATTGGTACCAGTGCTTGGCGACACCAGAGGCAGAGGCAGAGCTGCTGGCAGTAGGCTTGGAGGCACGGCAACCGGAAGCAGAGCCAGAAGCAGGAGTCGAAGCAGCGGCGGTCGCCGTGGTGCTGGGGGTAGCACTCGAGGGCTTGGAGGGCTGAGCAGCCTTAGAAGGAGCGGGAGCGGTAGGCTCGGCTGGAGGGACAGAGGACGGAGTAGGAGTAGAGGAAGGGGAAGAAGTGTCGACGACCTCAACCTGAGTAGCGGTAGTAGTGGTTGGCTTGGTCACAGAGGCAGAAGAGCTGGTGCTCGAGGAAGAGGAGGAAGAAGAGGCGGTGCCGCTCACAAAGTACTTCTTCAGAATGGGAAGGTAGGTTGAGTAGGCAGGACCGCTAGTAGGCTCGAGACTGTACATATAAGTTCCCCACCAGGGACCGGCAGACCACCACGAAGCACCGAGCCAGACATCGCTGTTCTCGGACATGTAAGAGAGAAGACCCTCAACGGCGGTCTCACACTGGGAGTTGACACCACCGGCGAACTCTCCAAGGAATCCTTTGAGGCCGTTGTCCTTCAGCCACTGAGTGGCAGACTCCACACGCTCCTGGCCGATAGTGGAGCTGACACAGGACTCAGAGGTACCAGAACCGTCCGAGTCGAGATACTGGTGCATCTCAAAGACGATCTTGTCCTGAGGATCCGTCAAACCCTTAAGGTTGTCATTGTTGTCAGTCCAGGTCCAGGCGCCACTGTAGTGGTTACCCTCAACGAAGATGTATTGCGTTGTGGCACCGGCATCACGAATACCATTGATGGCGGCCTGGTTCAAATTGAGCACCAGAGTCTGGTCCATATCATGGTATTCATTGTCTGGAAACATCAGCCTAACGATTCCAAGCTATCAAAGCTCCAATGTCTCCGGTGGTCGGGAGTCTCACTGGTATCGAAGATGACCTTGTCATTGGAGGCGAATTCGCTAGCGACGGTCTTCCAGAATGTCTGGAAGTCGGAAGTAGAGGAAATGATACTTCCAGAGCTGTACGGTGGATTTTAGTTACCACTCCGCTGGTAAGGACAAGCCATGACTTACTATCTTCCATAGTTATGAGGATCAATAATGGCATAAGCACCACAGTCGGTAATGAACTTGACGGTCTATCGCCGAATATTAGCATCTCCTCACGTCAAAGCAAATGTCCCTGCCTTACCTTCTTCAGGTCGCTCAGGTAGGTGGCATCCGGGGTACCGGTCATGGAGCTGGGGACCAGACGCTCCATCAAAAATGGAACACGGAAGATGTTCATACCCGCGTCGCGCAGAGTCTGGATCTTGGAGGTATCGGGCCATGTGTAGTCTGTACCCAGGGTTCCGGGGATGCTGCTACCGAATTCGGCACCAGATTCGCTGACACCGACCCCTGCAGGCGTATAGTGTTAGTCTAGTCGAGATACCATACCATGGCAGGATTATCGCCTCGACATACAGGTAAATCCAGAGGAGCGTTTTTTGGCCATCTCGCGTACGGGCAGAGCGTTGACCAGACCAGCAGCGCTGGCGGCCATGATCAAGTTGCTGATTCTCATTTTGGTGGTATAAAGAACGTGTATCGAGCTTGTCGAAGAGCTGAAAAGCAAAGGGGACAAAAGGAGAGACGAAAGACGAAAATCAAAAAGTCTAATGAGTGACAAGAAACCAGTCTTGAGTTGTAGAGAGAAGAAAGAAAGGGCCTGAAAGAATGAGTCCAGCGTGCTCATCTTATGTAGACCTCCTCATCTCGGAGGACACGATTCAGGGACCCCCGTTCATTTCGCAAGCTCCACAGCTTTAATATCGAGGCAAGCTTTTGCAAGGGATCAAGCATCCGTCCGAGTTCTCCATTAGCTGTGGCCACTAGCCACTAGCCACTAGCCAGGTTCCCTGGCAGCTCATCTTTTGAGAATTCGGAAGGTGGAAAAAAGAGCAAAGTCGCCATAATTCTCCCGGCCTGAGCCATGAATTTGATAATGCATCATTTAACTTCAGGGGCGCACAGTTCGGAGCGCTGGCAGAGCATAGTTCTAGAACGACATCTGAACAATTGTAGTGGCGCCGTGAAGGAGGAGATGGATGGTACCCATCATTGTCAAAGACATAATAGTAAGTCTTCATCTCCTCGGTATTCCAGTCAACTCAGTCCTTCGGCGTCCGACATGAAGTGGGACAAAAAGCAGGGTCAGCGATGGCCAGTGGCTTAGCCGGCGAATAGCTAAACTGGTGCCTGATCCGTATATTTGATCCTGAGTGGCTTTGATTAAGGAGACAGCGAGGAACTGTTCCAGACTCGCATAGCATCATCGCCATCAGCCAAATATCCAATGCGATTGCCTGATTTCGTTCCGTGTGGGTGAACTGGAGGATGAGAGGAGCTCTGCTTTAGATGAAACAGCAGTAGCGCTCCAAGGAATGTGCTCGTTGGCGGAGAAATTATTTTGGACTCTTTGGTAGGTGATGGTTCAGACACGGTGACCAACGGTTGTTTCGGATCGTGCAACCGAAAGCTTGTACCAAGCTTTGTGTAAAACAACATATCTGAGGTTTCGACGTCAAGATACGCGCTTTGACAAGCCTGAAATCGATGATTGGAAAGATTGGACTTAATTGCGGATGGATAGGAATAATTGAAGTCGAAAGCCTCAAAGGTCGAAGTGAGACAGAGACATTAGCAAGACCCACCGAAAGTCAGCCATCAGGGAACTAACGGTTTTTAGATTGCATGTTTAATGAGCTCTCTAGAATTGAGCATGCACTGGAGTCTTGAGCAGGAAAATAGGGGGTTACCTTATTATTATTATTGATCAGTTAGTAAACTGTCTGAAGAATAGTCTATACCGCGAGATGGGAAAACACAAGTAGAATATGGCCTTGGTAACCGCCTCTGTTTGGTTACAGTTCTGGCGAGAAGCCCCAGCATAATGCGAGCTACATATGACAGTCAGGCAGGTGAAAATGCCCCTTCTGCCAGCATTTGATGCAACTGGTACGATTTATTGAGGAGGTAGGATGTTTTGGGGAAAGAAGTTCGACACTATGAACATGCTATTCCATTATCGGCTGACGTGGAACTCAAACGACCTATCGCCTTTGCCGATGGGAATTGCATTTACATCGTTATCATAGAGCGTACGCTCAAAGTATCTCACTCTTCCATTTGCACTTACGAGCACCACGGTCTGTTTCTGAGTTCCGTATGCGCCCTGCAAGAATGACTTGTCCAGCAAATCATGCGGCGGTTGACTCTCGATTGGAACCCTGTCCGTATCGCGAGCTGCAGCAACCTCGTCGGCAGCCCTAGACTTCTCTGCTTGTGCTCCAATCACTGGGACGAAGATACTCTGTCGCAGCAGGAGGAGGTAGGTCTCCAGCGTGGAGTCTCCCGAGAGCCTGGGGAGAGTATCCCGGCTCAGGACCTGAAGTAGTCGGTTGATGAGTTGATCTTCATCTTCACCTGCTTGCACATGAGCATTGATGGCCTCTTTCATGAGCTTTTCCCCGTCGAGGATCTTTGGCCAGGAGCGATCACCGAACGTTGTGTTGCTGAGTCCCAATGTCTGACCCTTTTCTGTGGCAATCCAAGAGATCTGGTCCATATTGGCTGACCGGTTCGATACGATGGCTAGCGGCTCATTGACATAACCACAAACCAGGCTGAATCCGCCGACATTTCTGATCTCGGACGAGGCTACCATTCCCTGTACAAAATCTCTGGTGGATTGCCTTTGCTCGGGGTCCGCTGTAAGCCAGTTGTTGACAATCAGGCCTCGACTATGTACTCCACTAGGCTCATCCGCTGTAGTCTCCCGATAGTTGGTCAGGACAGCTATTTTCCCTTCTTTTGTGACCCCCATCCATGTCCCATGTGTGGCTCGAGCCAGATCTCTGCCTCCAAGCACGTTGGTGCTAGGTTCCGGCCACCAGTCGGCGCAGGATGTTGGACGGCGGAGGAATTCCTGATTACTGTTAGTTTATGTAGGGTAACAAGGCGCTCCGAGGTCGATATTCGCATACATCCCTGTTATCGATAACGATCAGAGGATAGGAGGGGTGAGCTGTGGAAATTAATGCGATGCACATGTTGTTTGGACGTATGAAAGAAAAGTAACAACAATCAAATATCCGGGAGGAAGATAATATATAAAAAGAATTAGAGCTTGCGTGCGGTCCAGAGACAATTGGAGCCAACTGATGGGTGGTGTGACGGCGAGCTATGCAGTGTCAACGCCGCCAAGTGTCGTCGTTGGGCACACGAACAAGACGCAGGAAGGACCAAGGCTCGTGAGGGGTACTCCACTGCTAAACAAAAAGCAATATCTGACCAAAAGAAGTTACGAAAAATCTGAGTAGTTAGCCACTCGATGTTCTGATTGATCGCGACATCAAAAGCATTGGGACAAGAGTCACGAGAGTTGGGCTGGCATCTTGAGGTCATCAGACCCAACAGAGCAATACTGCCGGAAATATATATACCGCCTTCTGTGTTTACCACCGCTTTGCCCAATTAACTAGCCATTTTAGGCTTAGTCTCTAGCTGGTCTGAACTTGCGGCGTAAGGCTCGAGACCTTCGAGCTTCCTCAGTCGAACCACAGTCGAATCGTTTCTTTAGCATCAGATATCATCATCTAATGTCTGAAAAGAACCTTGTTAATCGGGAAGATTTGAGCTGGAGACCAGCAACGAACTGAGCACGCGAGATGCCGTTCATTTTAAACTCAATAATGGCGTGTGATCCGCGAGATTTCCATAGCTTAGGGTAACCTCGATTCCTAATTGAATTTGTACGAGCAGATTCAAGATGTCGACGTTCACAAATGCTAATCTATCTTCAAGCGCAGAGAATATGACTTTTTGATTTGTCGACTGCGGTTGAAAGATAGTAGCTGACCAAGCGAACTGGTCAACTGGCACTCCTTTCAAATACCCAAAAATAACTGGTTCATTGAGACAGATGTCTTATTCGGCCAAAGCCGAGATGAAGACCTGGCCGAATAGGTAGCATCTCCGTTGACCAACGCCGAGCGGTGCAAGTGTGCTTCTTGCATGAGCCCGCAGGCCCCAATTCTGCTTCACTTCGAATGCCACAAGGCCCACAACTCGTAACATAACGGCTTAGGGTTGGTGCTGAATTCATCGGAAGCTGTCTCCGAAACCCGCATAATCCCTGATAACTGGAGGGACTTTGGATCCGTACCCAATCCAGGTGAGACGTAATTGTATTGCCTGGTATCTATGTCGAGTAGTTGCACAGTGCTTCGGATACACCGATGGCTGGGACCGGCATTTACGGTGATCGACACAACTCGGCCCTTTAAGGAGATTAAGCTGGCCAGTCATCTTCCATATCTTTCGACCCGCCACACATGCATACCTAGTGTTCGAGACCAATAACCGAACCTATGAAGGTGGAAGAACACTCCCTCGGTAGGTATGATTATTCGATAGACTGATCATGACTCGTCACTCGCATATGCCCGATCGCACAACCTGGGTGCTACAGGTGGGTACTAGAACAGTCAGACAAGAGGCAGATGAAACATGAATGACCTGAATAACATGTCAATGCACAGTGACCTCATCCAAAATTGTATCAAGCATAGCACAAGAATCACTATGAAGAAGATTGTTGCATTGTTCGCCATCTTCGTTGTTCTTGTGCCCCCTTTCCCCACCTTGCTTCCATTATAGGGCCTCGGGCCCTCGGCTAAAGTCACGTTTCCGCTGGCATACTTCAAAGCAAGGCATACATCCCAGAGAAATATGGGAATTTGAACGAAAAAACCAGACTCTCCAGTCTGTCTTCAATTCATCTTCCTATTGCGATGGCGTTCCCGCTTCTGACCGTCGCGGCTGTGGCTGTTGCCCTCCGTCTGCTGTGGGCGCTGGTTTCGAGATGGCAGCACGCACAGAATGCCCGCAGATTAGGCTGTGGTTCAACTCCTCTCTATCCTAGTGATCCTCTAGGTATTAGTGTTCTCAAGGAAGCTTTGGCAGCAGACAAAGCGAAAAAGATTCTACCGATGGTAGAGCGCCGAGTCGCGCTCATGAGCGACCGCGAGGGCCGATATGTTACGACCTTCCGGTTTAGGCAAATGGGACGTGAGAATTATTTCACAACGGATCCGAAGAACATCCAAGCCATTCTGGCCACGCAATTCAAGGACTTTGAGCTGGGGGCTCCTCGAAGGCAAGCTCTGCATCCCGTTTTGGGAGCTGGCATTGTAGGTTTTGCCTCGTGAATATGCAAGGTTTGTGCGGCATGCTAACAACTTTGGTGTAGTTCAGTTCTGATGGCGAGGAGTGGTCTCGCTCCAGAGGTCTGCTCCGTCCTCAGTTCACGCGTGATCAAATCAGTGACCTCGACCTGGAAGAACGTCATGTCCAAAAGGCGATGCAGGCGATGCCTGTCGTCAACGGGAAGTGGACCGAGGCAGTGGACATCCAATCCATCTTCTTCCGTCTCACCATCGACTCGGCGACCGAATTCCTCTTTGGCGAGAGTGTTGAGAGCCAACTCTCGGCCTTGAAGGGTGGTCAGACACCCGAGGACAAATTCCCCTACTATTTTGACAAGTCGCAATGGTACGCGGCACAACGGGCTCGCTTCGAGAAACTGTACTGGATTGTGAACAACAAGGAGTCGCGCCACGCGGAGAAGGAAGTGCACGCGTACGTGGACCGTTTCGTGCACAAAGCACTCAAAGCCGCCCGCGAAGGCAAGCTCGCGGACCCGGACAAATCGTCTCAATACGTCTTCCTGCACGCTCTGGTTTCCGTCACCCAGGACCCGATCGAACTGCGCTCTCAGCTGTTGAACATCCTCCTCGCGGGACGTGATACCACCGCGTCCCTGCTCAGCTGGACAGTGCTGATGCTCGCACGCCACCCGGCCGAGTTCCAGAAGCTCCGACAGACCGTCATCGACGAATTCGGCACTTACAACCAACCCCGCAACATCACCTTTGCCGCCCTCAAGTCTTGCCAATACCTGCAGTACTGTCTGAACGAGACCCTGCGTCTGTTCCCCGTGGTCCCCGGCAACCGCCGCTCCGCAACGAGGGATACCACCCTTCCCCGCGGCGGAGGCAGCGACGGCGCCCAGCCCATCTACGTACGCAAGGGCCAGCTCGTCGTATACAACGTGCACATCCTGCACCGGCGCAAGGACATCTGGGGCCCTGACGCCGAGGAGTTCAAGCCGAGCCGGTGGATCGATCGCAAGGTGGGCTGGGATTATGTCCCGTTCAACGGTGGGCCACGCATCTGCATCGGGCAGCAGTTTGCTCTCACCGAAGCGGGATACGTCCTGGTGCGGTTGCTGCAGCGCTTCGACGCGATTGAGGACGTACAGCCGCATCTGGAGATCCGGCATTCTCTGAATCTGACCAGTGCGCCGGCGGATAATGTTACTGTCCGGCTGCGTGAGGCGGAATAACTTTAGCTTTGGAGGTTTTTCTGTTTCAGTGGTCGCATCGCAGTGTATTTGATTATGCATATACATGATCAATATTAATGATACCAGTTCTGCGCTGACAAATAAGACTATCAAACCTAGAAGCCGTAGCCACCGATTTATATCAAGACAACGTTGCATCGATTCAGCACTTGTCATTATATAATGTACCATCCAACCACTACCAACAGGGTATATTTCATATCCCTCCTCCTAATCCACTAACAGCAACACTCGCAACACTCGAAACAGGCAAGCCCCGCACACCTTCACTCATCAGCACGCCAGCGCCCATCAGATAGTAGGGAAAGAGGAAACCTACACTCCACAGCAAATATCCTCCTTCTCACCACCACCACGCAGTCTCATGTCCATCTGTTCCTGTGCGGGCTAACATGGTAAGTGTCAGTTGATACTGTGTCAATAGATAGGGGAGGTATGGATGAATGCGTACTGGCTGCTGCGACACGACCTGGGTTGGTGCCGCGGGGGTAGCCGGTTGGGTCATGGCAAGGGTGCTAGGGTCCCAGGTAGGTTGCTGGAGCTGTTCCTCCTTGGATTTGAAGGGATTGAGGGTGAACATGTCGAACTATGATGAGTGAGAGTGAGCTGGTTGTGTAATGTGCTAAGCGATATGGCTATAGTCTAACTGATGAGGGAGGATGTGAACTGAGGAGACACTGGCGTGAGACGGGACGGGGACGGTGAGTTTTATTTTATTGCATGAGGAGTCGCTACCTTAGCTTCATGGCTAGATAGTCTAGTTTCAGATGCGAGGTAGCGTCTGATCCTATTCTCCCACTAGACAGCCCTGTAGAGGAATCATGCTGCCTGGTGAGTCGGCACATGATCCGGTTCTGCTTTGTTGATGGTCCGTCTCCAGGTGGCATGGCGCCGGGGGCTGAATCGGCGGTTATTCATTGGATGTGTTGTAGATTCGAGCTTCCCAGCTGAGTGTGTTTTAGTGTGTTGTCATTGCATTAATCCCTCATATATTTGACTGTGGCTGATCTATCCTGTGATTGCACCAAGTGAGACCGCTATCTGCTTGAGTGCCCCCGTTGCTGCCAGTCGGGCTATTTCTCCATAATGCCCAGAGTCTAAGGCGAAACAAGCCTCCTTGGCACGGCTTATCTTCATCTGCTCTTGGCTTGTTCATCAAATAATCTATTGAAGTGTATATACTGTATGGAGACCTGGCTATGTCTATACCTTCCTCTTGACCAATCCTCGGAAGAAATCAAAGCTGTTGCTGTCACTCTGCAACTGCCACACTCGTCCCGTAGGCCGATCGTCCCATCCCAACTCCTCCGCCAGCAGCAACCCATATTCCCGAGTGATACCCTTGATTCGGGCCCGCGCTCCGCCTTCTTCCTCTAATGTGACAGCCTGATGCATGTGCAGCCAGTCGTCGTAGTACATCGTCTCAAACTCCCGGTCAAAGCCTGTCCGCAGGAAGCGGGTGTACAGCTCTTCGAACGTGGTGAGGCACCGGGCGAGGAGTTTCTCGAGTGTGATTGGGGCGGTTTTATTGGAGACAAAGCGAGAGGCGAGTGCATTCAGCGAGGTGGTTGGAGAGGCGTTCGTGGCGTTGATGCCGATTCCCACGACGGCGATGTATTCGTTCGAGGAGAAGAGTGAGTTGATGAGGATACCGCAGATTTTGGTGTAGTGCTTCTTGTCCGGGTTTTCGGGGTCCAAGGCATCTTGACTCATTAGCTAACCCTATTTAAACGAGAGGATCGAACTTACAAATGTCATTGGGCCATTTGAGCTTGACTGGCATGTTCTCAAAGCCCACGTCGTAGCTCTTGATACCCCGTACAACTGCCATTGCCGCCAGATACTGAATGAAAACCACCGGGGCAGACTGGATCTTTTCAATCGGGTGCCTTACGACCGTCGAAAAGATCAGGGCCCCCGCTGGAGAGACCCAGACATTGGAGCCTCGGCCTCGGCCTGCGACCTGGGTGGTTGCTGTCGCTGTGAATCCATGCGGCAGTTTACGGAGTAATTTGGGATTCCTGTATCCGTCAGCTCTGAAGGCAAAGAGTCCAGCGGAAGACTTACTTTTCCAGAATCGTATTTGTACTAGTGACCACCTCGCCATACATGATGCTCGAACCGAAACAGCCAGTACCTTCCCGCATCTGTGACTGGTACTGTTCGAGATTGGCGTAGAATGCATGGTGATTGAAGTAAGGAGTCGCTTTTGAGGATGGAAGCTCGTCGTGGATCACCAAAGGCTTGATGATTGCGTTGTAATCGACAATGCCCTCGCTAGCACCCTGTTCAGACTGGGGGAGAGACTCCTCCAATGAACTCATACTCCAAGTCCCGGATCTCTCCAGACGAAACGTATCGTTTTCATCTTTGATGAATTCTTCGTCCCCCTCGGTGCTAATCACCTCTTGCAACGACGATCGGATGCGGGAAGTATCAGCCGGATTTTGAGACGACAGGTGCAACGACGAAAGCGATGGCACAGTCGTGGTATTCTGGGTGACCTGCAGGCCCAGCTTGGACAGACAGGCCTTCAAAAAGTCGGTGCGCGCTTTATCGTCCGCTGCCAGCGCATCCACCACCTTGGCATAATCCTCGCCCCCGGCTTTTTTGTCTAGGTTTGCCGCTGCGAACCTGTTCAGTTTTGTCAGTCACTGCCCCTTGAATGCTCTGAATAACGTACTCTGGATGCGGTCCAGTCAGAATGGCCGCTCCCTCGCCCACCTTACAGTAGACGACGGCAGCCGCACCTGCGCCTGGATCGACATTCAATTCCTCCGTGTAGCTGGCCAAAACCTCCACGCCCTTGTCGGTATACAAGGACGCATCGACAAAGACACCACCCCCGTTGTAATAGCACTTGAACCCCTCCGGCACCACCCCGGCTTGCAGTACATCCTTGGAGACCTTGAGATCGGCGCCGCGCGCGCCCACCTCGCTGTGGTATACAAATCCCGGAAACGCACCGCCGCGGCATATGCCAGGGTAAAAAGCCAGTTCCCGATCCCCGACCACCTCCATCGTCTTATCGCCGACCTCGAACTCACATCGCTGGCTGGCGTAGTAACCCCCCGCGCAGAAACCGAGGTATGCGCCGCCGCGCTTGACAAACTGCTCGATCCGGCGGTTACCTGCGCCATTGAGGGATCGACAGTACCCCAGATCCGCTCCCCCGGGCATCACCAGCAAGGCGCAAGTCAGCGTCCACGGCTCCTTGATGAGCATGTCGGCGGTCACGGGGATCACGGCATAGTGCGGGGCGAGGAGGCGGCGGAGGGTGTAGAGGCAGTGTCGGACGGATTCGACGGTGCTACCATTGCCTGGAGAGGGAGGAGAACTGATTAGACTATTTGATCTCCATGCGGATTGGGTGAGCGAACCGGAGTAAACTAGCACGTTGAGCTTCTTGCCAGTCAGGTTGGGCGTGGTTGCGGTCATTGTCGCTGTCGCTGTCGCGAATGCGGCGAGTCGGTCTCCGGACGGAGCAAGATCAATTCTTCTCAGACACAACTCACAGGCTTACACAGCTCACGTTAGAGCAATTGAACAAGATGTCGAAGAAGGAGGATAAGCCCGCGGTGGTCCCGGAAGTGGACGACGATGAACCTGATGAATGGTAGATTGGATTCTTCCTTTGACTTTTGAGATTCTCGGAGATTGAAGATCTGGACTAATGCGGAGTCATCGGTGGACAGGGACAAGCGGATCTTCAGCACCGGCTGCGCAGGTGAGTTTACAATCAAGATTATGGTCAATAGACAAGCTGCTCATTGAGTATCAACAGTGGAGCAGGATAAAATGAACGACTGCTATTTTACGAAGAAGGACTGGAGACAGTGCAAGGGCGAGGTGAGTCACGCTGAGACCGCTTGCAGACGAATGCAAGCACCGCATCACGCCCGTTCAAGCTTTCGTTTCACCCCGTCGTACACTAGGAACCTGAGAATTGAAGCTGATGAGTATGTTATGGCAGATGGAAGCATTTCGCGAGTGCTGGAAGCGCAAGGGCAATGACCAGCGGACTCAAACAAAGGATGCTTAGACTCAGAAGAACGAGTCAACCTGCTATTTAGCCTGTACTATAGATGCCAATATTGTAATCATATACGAAAATCACCCTTTTCAAGCTGTATCTCTGTATCTGCTAATTCAGACGACCTTATTGACCATATGTAAATCACGTGACATTATACAGACGCGACGTCAAGCTTCGTCTCCGCATGAGAAGCACTAACAACGAACCATCCTCAACCACACCATCACCATGGCTTCGTCGCATATCCGCCGCTCTCTGCGGCTAGTAGATTCTACAAGCTTCGCAAAAGCTACATCTAGATTGACCTCCCGGTCCACCACGCAGCACATCCTCGCCCTTACCAGATCAATCACAACCACCCCTTCTCACAAATCCATCACCACCAACAACAACCAAGCAACCCGGACAGCCCCCAAACCCCCCATCCCATCTACACCAACCCTACCAGCAAAGCCATCCACCCTCTCATCAACCGCACCCGCAACGGACGACCGCACCGCCCGCATCCTCGCCCCAACACCCACCCACCAAACCACCACCAACATCTCCAAAACCGGCCTCGCAGACGCCCCGCTCTCCCCGGACTCGCCCTCCGAAGAAAAAATTGACTGGACGCGCTCCTTCCACGGGCTCTCCGCCGCGCCGTTCCCCAAGGAGGTAGCAGATATCCTGCTCGCGGAGGTCGACCCGGAGGAAGTCGAGATCAAGCCCGATGGCATCCTGTACCTCCCTGAGATCAAGTACCGACGGATTCTGAACCGGGCGTTTGGGCCAGGTGGCTGGGGGCTTGTGCCTCGGAGTGAGAGTATTGTTACGCCGCGGACCGTGACGAGGGAGTATGCGTTGGTTTGTAATGGGCGGTATGTATCCCGTTTCTTTCCTTTGTTTCTCTTTGTGTTTGAGAGGTGTGAATAAGGAGGCTGATGGTGCTACAGGTTAGTGTCTGTCGCGCGGGGCGAGCAGGATTACTTCACGCCTGATGGGATCCCGACGGCGACGGAGGGGTGTCGGTCTAATGCGCTGGTGCGCTGCTGCAAGGATCTGGGGATTGCGAGCGAGCTGTGGGATCCGCGGTGGATTCGCAAGTTCAAGGCGCAGTATACGCGGGAGGCGTTTGTGGAGCATGTGGTCAACAAGAAGCGGACGAAGATCTGGGTGCGCAAGGATGACCAGGTGTCGTATCCGTGGAAGGAGACCGGGACTAAGTAGTCAGGACAGACCGTTCTGAGGTCTGTGACGGTGTCTGATACCGTCATATGTATATTAAGCATGCCGAATAGAATTCTCGTTTACATTTCGAATTACTGGTTGATTTTGATTTCCTAGTTGGACATAGATCTCACAGCCCAATATATGCATCAGATCATCACCCATATTCCATACCAATACAAAAATGAATCAAAATACCACCAACGCCAGCCGTTTTGTTTTCAGTAACCTAACTATTGTCCTCCGTTCGGCGGACGAGACTGATTCCAGTTCCTGGAATGGTCGTCAGGGTAGCGCTGTTGCACCCCCGGCGAACCCGGGAACCTGCGGAACGAGTCCGAGTCGGAGTGCTCTATCGCCGACGGGAGCTCGAGAGGCTGCTCCGGATCGTACGCCGTCTCCTGGCTGTGAGATCCGTAGAAACTACCTCCGTAGTTTGACATGCTGGGGTACGAGGGATACTCAGAAGAGATCCCCTGGGATGTAGAGCCCGCCGGCGGCTGCTGGCGAGGAAGAGGGGGCACGGGCTCCGCGATGATGGGAACTCCGCCTGCTGTGGGGGAAGGCTGGGCGGGCTGGTCGGTGGTGCTGGTGCCTGCCTTGCGGCAGCCGGTGGACGGTTCACGGCCGAGATTGCCGTAGTTGACGCTGAGTTGGCGGTTCTGGTTGGGCGAGGCGGCGGGGGTCTGGTAGTTGTCCACTTCGTTCGGGGTGCGACTGTTGGCGCGCTCCGGGTAGCCCGAGTCGGTGGACGACGAGCCGCCGCGGCGTTGTAGCGTGCCGGATGACTGACTAGCGCTGAAGCCGGTTGATCGAGCCTGTTCCTGGGCGGTGGCATCCAAGGTCATCCCGGCCGCTGCTGCGCGTCGCTGGCCGGATGCGGTCCGCGTGACATTGTTCTGGTCGGCGTTGTCGGCGTCGGGCTTGTCGTCCTTGTTCTCGCTGTCGCCTGCAGCGTCCTCCGCGGCAGCACCAGGGGCGCGGATGGGAATCTTGCGCACAGCGGTAACCAACGCACACATGAATTTGGAGCGACGCATGGCACGGATCGACTCGTTAGCCCAGTTGGATTTGTGGCGGATGCTGACGCTCAGCTCAAGCTTGTCCATGTCGCCGACACCAACAACGTCAACGTCGACATCCGGCTGGAAATCACGGTAGTTCTCCTTGTCACGGACAAATCTCTCCATCTCATCGCGGAGGAGTTGGATGTCGCCGAATGTTGTGTCGAAGCTGACGGGAATCTTGAGTGTTTCGTGCATGGCATTGGAACGCGTAAAGTTGTCAACCCAGAGAGTGTTGAGGACAACGTTGGGGACCTGAGTCACGCGCTGATCCGTCACCGATTTGAAGACGGTATACAGCAGCGAAATGCGCTCGACTACGTAGTCCTTTTCGCTGAGCTCGACCCGGTCACCAATGTCAAAGGGATGCTTGACGAACAGGAAGATGCACGAGCCCAGTACCTCCTGGGCGGTGGTCGCGAAAACGAAACTGAGAGACAGGAGGGATGTGGCACCGGCCGCGATGACGGTGCCGAAACCGCTTGTCACAAACGAAATGAAGACCAGCACCGAGATGATACCGGCGACAGTCAGCAGCAAGTTGTCCAAGACATGAATGGCCTGGTCGACGTCGTACATGCTGTTATTGAGGGCCTTTCGGTTACGTCCGATTTCCCCAACAACCAGAACCATCTCGTCCAAGCTGATATCACCGTTGCCGTCTCGATCGAGCATATGGAAACATTCCTCGGCAATCATCTCTTTGCCGACTCCCAAGACCTCGGCGACGTCGTCGGGGTATAGGGCATCCCTGCCCTCAATGACAAAGGACATCCAGATTCGGCGTGCCAAAGCTTCGGCGGCCTTCCGGCGCTCCAGGGCCTGTGTTACAATACCGCGCACCGAAGTGGGGTTGAACACTTCCTTGCCGGTGATTTCGTGGGCGACACCACCAAACGCAGCGGTAACTCGGTCACCAAATCGGCCAACGTTATGACCAACATTGCGAATCAGCTTGAGGGGGATCGAGGAGCTGGAGCGCGAGTGGACGGGGCCCTTCGCGGCGGCTGCACCCAAGAGCGAATCGGAAATGATCATGTCCTCCTCACGAAACTCCTTGCAGTACATGGGGAACATGTTGCGGGAGGCGTCGTACAGTTGACCGATAAGCTCGATGTTCCGCTTCGACTCCTTGATCTTCAAGTCGAATTGCTTTCGGTGGTAGCTGATGGAGATGAGCTGGACCAGGAATTTCTCCGCCAGCAGAATCAAGCTACACACAAACAAAGCGAACAGGATATTCTTGACGGATTTCTCCCAGGACTTGGCGGAAGTATCGCCCGTCCGCTTCTTCTCGGGGTTATATGTCATGACCGGAAGGAAAGTCACCAACGTGACGATGGTCCAGAAGACCGTCGCGATGGGCAGTTCTAGTGCGCGCAGGATGAGAGCATACTTGCGAGTTCCCGGGCTGACAATTCCACAGAGGAACTGAAACAGGTATGGGAGAAAATGAGCGATAATTTTGCAAATCCACAAACTCAACCAGACAACCTCGATCCAGGCAAAGAACCAAGGCAGCGTCACGCCGCCAATTCTCGCATCCTGCGCGGCCGTGGCTCCCACAATGATTGGAATAGCGATCAAGAGCGCGATCGGCGTGACATAGATGATGTACCTGGTAACGATAGAGAAGTTGAGGATGGCCTGGTAAATCCTCCCCATCCGCGTGAGGGTGCCATCCTCAGGTTCCTCGAGCGAACGGCCCGTCGAGTCGTCAACGGTTTTCTTCCGACGGCCAGGACCAGGACCAGTGCCAGCGACCAGCCCGGCCTTCTCGCTGGTGTTGGTGTGAACACCCTCAATGGGAGGGTGATAGGCCGCCGGAGAAGTGGCCGTGTGCGCACTCCCCCTCCGTGCCCCCGTCGGAGAGCGACTGCGAACATTGGTCAGGGGAATATCAATCGTAACATCGTGTGGATTGGCCATTATGGTATCATTTGAGTAATCTGGGAGCGGTTGAAAGCGATGGGCCGACAAACGCTTCTCCGTGAGTCCAGGTCGACCGGACATCGAAATGAACGAGAAGGAGAGAAAAACGGGGTCCAATGACCACGATTCCTCTTGACTTTATACTTTCGACTGTTTGACACTAACCCGAGGGAAAAGCGAGTAACGGCCTAGAAGCTGACCAGCAGCCCTGACAAGGGAAATTGAGTGGGGCGAGGGCCAGTGTCTGGGTTTTGCGACAGGCCAAGTGAGCTACTAACACCCGAGATCGACTGGTCGATCCAGAGAAAAGCGATCTGATTTGGCGCGAGCCCGTTTGAATCTGCGCCTCCAAGGATTGACCAAATACGTAGACTCGTCCACAAGCAAAAGAACCAGAGGCAGACTGTGCTGTGTGCGGGGACAGTGGAGTTGTGGGCCGAACCAAGCGAAGCAAGAAAGACGAGAGGAAGAAGAGAGTGAGCGATTGAGCGATTGGAAAGACAGACTGGAGTTAGTGGCCAGATGGAGAACGAGAGGTCAGTATGATCTAATGCGATGGAGGTCAGATCGAAGAAAAAGAAACGAAACAGACTGAGCTGAGCGAGAGGAGAGAGAGATTCGATGGAGAAAAGGAATGAGGAGGAAGAAGTAAAACGGGGCCTGAGGCAATAACCATAGAAATGGATGAGTCTAATAATAAAATATTTCACTAATAAAATTCTATTGGGGCGATGTTTCACCATTCCAGGAACAGAACGCCACCAGCTGATTTGACGGCCAGCTTGTCCATGCGTTTCTAGGAGACCAGCATTCTTGCGCGTTGTCACATTCCCACCACCATGAATGTGGTTTCTCAGCAATGACTAGGAACGTGCTAATACAGAAGATATGCCAGAGGTACATACTTAAGTAGAAGCTAGACCTACGCGTAGGATAGAAAAAGATCCCAGGTTGCAGCCTGTCTACCGGTCAAATAGAATAAACCATCAGCAGAAGTACCTTAATCAATCAATCAGACTTGTGGCTATTGGTCTCTAGAATCTTAGTGCCATCCACAATGTCGACTTTTATTGAGGGGTTCCTCGTAGGTATCGTAATAGTCTCAAACGGACAAGACCGACAAGCCACCGTTTCATCCTCGTCTTAGCTGATTCTGGTCAAAGTCTACTCAGTCTAGACTATGGAGGATTCGTGACTCTGGTAGACTCTAGTCTAACTGTCAGTGTATTCGGGCAAGCCTGGTACAAAGCCTTCTCGCTGCTATAGTCTGTACGTATGGAGAGATCGCATATATCCTGATGCATGTATATAGATCAATCGCATCAATTACAGATTCCATCATTATCCTCCACATATCCCACTGTCCTGCTGTGGGCACATATTCTCTGCACAATTCCAAGTAATCTGTCGAGATCATCTGGATTTCGTCATGTTTTCGCCGCAACCACGGATCATTCACTCGATGGGTCACTGAGGACTTACGTGACGATCCTTACTTCGAACTCAAGCCATATGCCAAATCGGTCCATAACATCCTCCCGAATTCGACTGGCAAACTGCAGGACATCAAAGCCATTCACGCTGCTGTAGTTTGCTACAACGAGAGCATGCTGGTCATACACTCCCACGGGGCCGATCCTCCTGCCCTTCCAGCCGCATCTCTCAATCAGCCAAGCTGCTGGGATGACTTTCGAGCCGTCTGCCCTCGAAAACACAGAGATCGCTGGGTGAACAGCCTGCAGAGCGTTGTACGCAAGCTGGTCGATGACTGCGTTCTTGAAGAAACTGCCCGCATTTCCGAGCAAATCTGGATCAGGCAACTTGCTCCTGCGTAGCAGACACACAGCTTCTGCGACTGACTGGATCGTGAGGACTTGCACTCCCCGATCTTCCAGAATGCGTCGAATTGAGCCATATGTCGTATTCAATCGATGGTTGCTAGGATTGCTGAGCCTGACGGTAACACTGGCAATGAAGACGTCTTGTAAAGTACGTTTAAACACACTGTCCCTATAGCTGAACTGACACTCGGCATTGGACATTTGTCGTCTGGCTCCAGTAGTCAAATCGATCGCGCATAGACTTTCCAGCACATTGCTGAATTCCACACCGTACGCACCGATATTCTGTATTGGTGCTGCGCCCACGGTACCTGGGATGAGGGCCAGATTTTCAAGTCCCCCGAGGCCATGGTCGAGGCAGTATGAGACCAGTGCTGTCCAAGCGACCCCGCTACCAACACGAAGTGCTGTGTGCTTCTCGTCCTGAGAGACGATTTCTATCCCGCTGATTTCGTTTTTCAGTACGATGCCCTCGTATGTATCATTGGCGAATAGAATATTACTACCACCACCAAGGACGAGATGGGGTCGAGTCTGAAATATGGGCGAGTGCACCAATGCCTCTAGCTGATCCGGACACCGCACACGGACAAAGTATCGAGTTGTCGATGAAATGTGAAATGTGTTGTAGGGGAGCAGGTCAACATATTCCTCCATGTGTACCACTGTGCAGAGCTGGCCTCTGGGATGTTCCGGTAGGCAAGAGCATGGCAAAATAATTGGTCATAAAAAGGGAAGAGTCGACGTTGATCCTCAAATGGCGTGAACCACCTTCATCTCAAAAATTGATGGCAGTATCCCATTGCTATTGGACCAGCATGCGAGGGCCCTGCACTGCAATATGCATGACCTCACCGCCTGGTTGGATTTAGAAGGCGGATTCAGCGACACGAAAATATACTCTGCAAGATTTCAGGAATGGCGCACAATCTCATCAGCATTGAAGGCGGTCGTGACGTTGTGGGCGATGTATACATCTCTGGTTCCAAGAACGCAGGACTGCCAATCATGGCAGCGTCAATCCTCGCCTTGGGGGAAAGCACGCTGGAAAGAGCCCCCGTCCTGACGGACATCGAGAATTTTGCTAGCATCCTCCGGTATCTCGGCGGTACAGTCATCTGGAGGTCAAACTCCCTGCGGATCGATACGACTCATATGGAAAGCCGGGAGTTACCCGCCAGTCTGACACGGACACCGCGGGCGTCAATCCTCGCTCTGGGGCCCCTTTTGGCCCGTTTCGGGCATGCAAAGATCTCACTCCCAGGCGGTTGCACGATCGGCAGACGTCCAATCGACGAACATATTAGGGGCCTTGAAAAACTCGGAGCATGCATCACACTCACGCGGAGAGCGATTGAGGCTCGAGTTCCTCGTACCGGGCTGCAGAGCGCAGTTCTTCAGCTACGTACACCCACCGTCACAGGGACCATGAACCTGATACTGGCAGCATGTCGAGCCAGAGGCGTCACCCACATCCGCAACGCCGCGCGAGAACCCGAGGTCGTGGATCTGTGCCACTGTCTCATCAGCATGGGGATGGTCATCCAGGGCGTGGGGACAGAGCATCTAGAGATTTATGGAAAGGATACCCCACTTCATCCGTACAACTACCAAGTCATGGATGACCGTATCGAAGGCGGTACATTTCTCGTTCTAGGAGCCATGGCTGGCAACCCACTTCGGATCCACGGGTGCCGCGAAGAGCACCAGACCGTACTGATTGAGACACTCCGTACAGTTGGGGCTCATATCACCATCGAGACACCAGCCGTCATCATGATAATCAAAGCCAGCAGGCCCAAGGCCATAGATATCACAACGGGACCGTACCCGGCCCTTTCTACCGATCTTCAACCACAGCTCATGACACTACTGTCCATCTCACAGGGCGTCAGCCGAATACACGAAACGGTCTTTGAGCGACGATTCAACCATGTAGCGGGTCTACTGGCCATGGGTGCGAAGATACACCTTGTAGGACAGAATGCCGTAATTCATGGCGTTGAAAGACTCGCTGCAAGTACCGTGGCAGCGACAGATCTCCGGGCAGGAGCATCTCTAGTGATTGCTGCGATATCTGCAGAGGGTGTCACAATCATACAAGGATTGGAGCATGTAGATAGGGGGTATGAACGATTGCGGGACAAGCTGAGTAGGATAGGAGTAGTTTCGGAAACGTTGATAGACCGCAGGATCAATTGACAGTCTGACTGAATCCTAACAGCCCCGGTATCGAACAAATAGCAGCTATTTATTATGTACACGCAGTGTATATGGACAAATAGAAAGGAGAAATATATATATAACAAACACACTCGTGTTAGAAACGTCGATGACCTAGAGAGATGTCATATCATAGCATTGATGTATTGTCCGACTGCCTAGATTCTCAAAAGCATGGAGGTTATTGGCAAAGGTGATCTTCGAATTCAGTTAGTACCTGCTTTCTCCAGACGTTCCCGGTGGACATACATATGCTTGCCCATAGTACCCGCTCAGTCTACCTCGATAGTATGCATTGGCCTCGCTGAGAGCAACCTGGATCTTCTGGCAGTCAACAGACTGGCGCTTCGCGAAATCGGACTGAATGACCGCGCCGGAAGCAAGCGTCGATAGGAGGGTAAGAGAGACGAGACTGGGGATTTGCATGTTGACGACTTGGAGGTCTGATCATGATAACATGAATTCGGGGCTATGTACGGACTATTTATGCTTTCAAAGTGCATACTATACGTCAATTAGCCATCCAGGTTCATAGTACGTATAGCGAGCCTGACCCTGCTTTACGCCGGGATGGCAGCGCTTAAGCTCAGAATGTAATTGAGCCGATTGGTCTCGTACCTTATACTTGTTGAACATGCCCTTGTGCGGTAGAGAATCCAAAAATACTCCATTAGTACAATAGACCCTGCCTGGAGTCTGCCTTGACAGGTTGACAGCGCTTAACTTCAACATTCACGAAACCGATTGGGTATAGGCCCTGTTTAATTAAGCATATTTCCGTTCTGGTCTAGACCTAGGATACTCTGTATATCACAACCCCAGTTCGTCCAAGTTGTGAACATGCATGAGTAGGTTTATTGCCAAGCTGAAGAGTCATGGTTTTGTGGTATTCCAGGCGCGCGGGAGCACGTCCAATGTGGTGCTGGGATGGACCGCTCGATGTAGACCCTGGTAGTCATACACCTGGCAGTAATGATGGATTTATCAATCCCATGACTCCTGTTTCCTGAGCAAGAACTGGTCATCACTCGGTTCGATGTTCAAGGCTAATATATCATCAACAGTTAGCTCAACTTCGCTTGAAGACTTCCAGACACAACTAGAGGACTTACAAAACCACGGTATGAGGCCGAGCACACTGAGTCTATGTGTGGCTGGCTCGAAACTGAACGAGACCCAGCTCGAAGAACAAAGGATGGAAATGACCAAAGACGAGTCTGTAAGTGCCTTGCCAATGGGCTCAAGAGTATCAACTTAAAGCAGTAGATAGGTGTACATTGCCATGTCATGCCTCAAAAGTGGAAACAACAGAGAAGGTGAGGCAGGTTCAAGAAGAATTGTGAATAAAACTAGGAGAAGACAGATTTCTTCTCTCTTTTCCTTGTTCCTGTTTCTCGCGTAATGAGAGCAAGGTGAATGCACTTATGTTTAGCGGAAAACAGCGATAAATACTCGCGAGTGAATCAACATCATATATTATATCTTTAGATACATAACTTCCCACACTTCCCATGACTCCTCTAAATACTTTCTCCTTTGACTGAGACTACATCGATGAGACATATCAGGTTGTGGAAGTTATCAAGATGACAGACTCAACTTCTTCTATCCTCTTCCAGCTCCCTTGTGAACTGCGCCTTGAGATCTACCGGCGCGTCTTCTTCATCTATCCCCACGCGAGAACCAGAGTCAGTGAATTCAAGTTCAGTGAACACAAGGAAATTCCTCCTCGCAAAGGCTTTGAGGTGTACATCCATCCCACCAAAGCCCACGCCTCCGTCTACAGAGCAGCCCCGAACGAATACCGCTCCCAAGAAGACCAGGACCGTCTCCACGAGTACCGCTACACACCCCAAGAATTCCTGGCCATTCTCAGCGTCAGCAAAGCAGTGTACAAAGAAGCGATGCCCCTCTTCTACTCGGAGACATTCTTCTGCTTCCCGAAGAACGGACGGCTGGGCTTGCCCACCAGCTTTTTGTGCAATATTGGCCCGCGTCGAGAGCAGTACGTCCGTCGGCTGTCCTTCGAGCTCCTACCACTCAACTACCCTTGCACAATCGAGGACAGACCTACTCTGAAATGGGTGGCGCTTTTTCTGTTGTTCATGAAGCACGTCGATATTCTGGAGATCATCCTGTTCGTTAGCGAGGAGAGACTGGAGTTTGGGGAACAGTTCATCAGCATTGCTCGTCCTGTTCTTCCGAATGAGCTCATTTTCGATGTACTTTGGGGATTCCATCACCTGTTGGCTCTTGGAAATCTCAGTACCTTGCGCTTCGTCGGCGATCCAGACAAGGTGCTGCGGAACCCAGATGACAGGACCTTGCTCGAAGGGGTGAGAGGCAGAAAGCTCTTTGATGGAGACACCGGTCGTCGGCCTCGCGTGGTTTTTGAGCATCCTGCTGGTCTTGATGAGGTGTGAGAAGTTCAAACGCATGTTCCACGGAGGTGAGCTATGCACATGGTCATTGGGATATCATTCAGCTGACAATTCAATGCCAAAGAGTTGTTCTTCGTTTGGTCGTATTCAGAACCGCCTGATGATACGATGTTTGTGCTCTGGTCGAGGTGCATACAACCCGTTGGATGACCTGATGATGGACGAAGGTGTCGCTTTGGGCATTGGTCGATCAATCAGCTTCAAGTTGGGAATGTATTTACCGCTGGCTTCTTTCGTCATTAGGAACAGCAAATCTACTCTGACGTCTTTGTGTCTTTTCTGAATTCAAGATCATCAATGTCACTCATAACGTATGGAATAGAAGAAGAATACCACGGGCTTATGATCATGCTACTACCAGATACGTTTGATACATGTAATAGCATATTGGGAATCTCCTCTCGGGCCCCAAGATCCTTCCAAGTGGTTCCATGCTCGTGAGACTGTCCGCCAACTTGTACTTAAAGGCAATCTATCCAGCGAGCGTGATCAAGCACTGGAATCCCTCTTCATCTGCTTCAACTCCTCTACCACCCTGTCCACCCCCCATCCCTCCTTCAACCCCCTCAGCACAATCTCCTGCTCACTCTCCGGCGCCATCCCACTGGGAGCCGGCGGCCTCCTATCCAGATTCGTCGGAAACGGATACCCATCCGCAACAGCCATCACCAGCGCCTCAAGCTCTGCATCCAGCTGTCTCCCCGCCTCCTCCCACCGCCGCACAATATCCCCCCAACACTTCTCCACAATCGGCACCGTATCAATAGTCTCCATCGTCTTCCCAAACGCACAACTAATCTGCAACAGGTTTGCCTTGCGCTGGAAACCCCCATCAGGCCCAGACTCCTCAGGAGCCATCTCATTCGCCCCCGCAGCATGAAACACCGCCGGGTTGAAAAACACCCCGTCCCCCAGCTCCAGCGGCAGCGCGACGTAGTGCTCCCGGAAATACGCCCGGAAGTCCTCCTCCCGCCACGCGAGGTACCCCGGCTCAAAGCACTGGCTGAAGGGGAGGAAGCGCGTGGGCCCACTGCGCGCGGGCATGTCGCTGTGCGCGACGGCCCCCTGCAGCGTGAGATACTGCGAGGCGAGCTGCAGGGTGCGTGGGAAGCGGGCGGTGGCCGCGCCGTCCTGGAAGCCCAGGTGGTAGTCGCGGTGGGATTCCTGGGCGGCGCCGCCGGGCTTGACGATGTTGACTTGGGCTGTGACGCGGTAGGCTGGGCCGAGCCAGGACTCGGCGATGAGGCGCAGCCAGGGGTTGGAGTAGTAGTCTATAAAAGAGCGGGGGTCGAGGAGGGCGTGCTTGCTGAAGGAGTTCCAGATGCGGTCGTTTTTGCCGCTGGCGGCGAAGTGGTCGCCTTTTTTCGTTGCGGTGAGGCGCTCTTGGGCGATGATGCGGGTGAAGGCCTCGGTGGTGGCTGTCAGGGTTGGGCCGTGGCGGCTTGGGTGGTACATGCCTTTCAGCACGACGATTCCGGGGCCGGTGCTGAGGGCGTGGTGCCATTCATTTTGGAGCTGGGTGGTGAGCTCCGAATTGAGGAGATCAAAGGTTGTTACATCGTAGATGGGGATGTTCTTCTCAATGGATGAGGATAAAGGGTAAGAGGCTTTGTTGGTGGTCTGGCTGCATATCGCTTTGAAGTCTTCGATTCGGGGAGTCGCCTCGAACAGTCGACTGGTGACTGAATGATTTCCGTTCATCCTGAAGATTGTCGTAGCAATGTTCCGACAGGTAGTCTGAGTGCACATCACTGCATCATGGCTGTCGAACACTGTTTAAATAATAAACTCTGCCTCCGTTCTGAATTCCGAGGATCGAATCATGATGCAGAAGAACTGCGGGGAACAGCTGGAGCTGGACCACAGTTGATGGCGACTCTTGCGCATACTGGTAAATTTGGCTCATGCGGAATTCGACCTCCGCAACTTACCTTGCATTTTGATCATATATTCCCTGAGAAGGGTTCGCTCCATTCGGTCATTTGCTTCATCAAATAAATGTCAATATTCCCGTTTAGCCTCAATTCGATGAACGGTGGATGGTGCTACATGGAAACCGATTTCCGACATGCACCACTGGACGTACTTCCTCATGAGCTCCTAGTTCTTCATGAAACGTATTATTACAGATGTACAGGGAATTTGTAAATGCTCAAAGCGAGAGACGAAATTCACAGCAAGGGTATGTGTTCAACATTGACGGTGCCACCGTTCCAAGGCATGACCTCGCCAATGCCGCAAGATTCCAGACAGCAACTGAAAATTGAGACATTACCCTCCGAGAGTCAGTAGGAAAAAGAAGCGCCACTAAGACATCACTAGGAATCAATACACAAGAGAAAGAAAACTGCCGTACTGGCATGTGCGTCGCTAATATCATGGCCAAACCAAACCCAGCCTGGGCAAAAGTCTATGCTGACGACCCGAATCTGCACCTGAACGGAGAACCAGAAGAAGAAAATGCTATCCATCAGATTAAACGTCATCTCATCAATATGCGTCGTGTTCATGCATTCATCATGACCACTCCGACGCCCGAGGCTGGAGTGGTATCTGTCGGGATGGGCTCGTCTGCTTCCTTCGGTTCGCTCAGTATGAGTTGATTCTCCGACATGGTTTCCACTAGGGAACTGGGCCGATCAGCTACTGTGAAGAGGACCTTAAGGAGCACCTTTTGGTTCCAAGAACCGTCTGCCGTATCGTCCACCCGATGCCTGGTATGGATCATCAAAGTGCGAATCAGATCCCGGATACAGGCGTCGGTGGATTCGTCTTGGAGCTTATCGAGACCGTCAATCACGCAGACCAGCAGTGGTGGTGCATAGTGCAAAAGCGCATCGATAAGCGAGAGGACTGTCTTCCACGAGCTTAGGGTGCCATTCAAGGATGTAAAACGCTCCACGCACAAATCACAGGCATCGTGGCTCTCCACAACCGGCGGGAGGTAATCGATTAATTGCCGGATCAAACTGTAAGCGAGGGCAATAAGACCCTGTTGGAACAAAGTCAAACCATCTGCAGACTGAGTCGGGAGGGAGCAAAAGTGGGAAATGACCGGAAGCCGTGCCTGTCGAGCAAAAGTGGCGAAACAAGCAGAGAAAAGGGCAACGGTGTTGGGAAAGGTGGTGGGTGGAGATCCGCCCACAGCCAGCATCTGCGAATGAGTGTTTGTCGCCCACTGTTGTAACGACTGCAGCACACTGTCTTCAGCGATAACATCCACGCCAGATTCGAAGTCGGCCACTTGGTCGCCAGCGTTGAAGAAGTCCTGGAGATGCCGGGAAGAGAACTGGAGATCGGTTCGGGTATACTTGCGTTTCGGGCCGCGAACCCAATTAAATCGTGAATCGTCTTTGAAAGAAATATATTAGCTTTATCTGAAAATCTTTTCACCAATGATGCATACCCAAGTCGCGCGTCGCAACCGTCGTCCAGCATGTAATACCACTGTTTTCTTGGCTGACCGGGCGGAGACTTTGACTGGCACGGTCCAGCAACTGTGACAGCAGGACATCTCTTTTGGCAGCCGTTCGGGCACGCGCAGATGCATCATGCTGGATTTCCCAGATCAACTGACGAGTGAGAGCGTTCTGTGCGGCGAACCGACGATCCAATTTTTGCAAGCCGATCTGCTTCAGTAGAGCCTGTTCCCACAAGAAAAGATCGGGGTGTTGAAATATGCTGTTTTCTCCAACGCAGCCCACGGTATCAAGATCCATCTCGTCAGTGAGCAGGCGGCTGACATCTCTGGCACACTCTCGAATACTGCGAAGCAAATGTTCGAAATCCAGAGAAGGATCCAGACTAGGACTGTTCAGCAACCGACACTTGGCCTTTCTGACATACCAATCCATAAACTCCCCCAGCAAGAGGAAGATGAGAGCGTAAAATTTTGCAATAGATAGGACCAGGTCATTGTTCGATGAAAGATCATGGTCTCCCGCTGGAACACGAAGAAAATCATTGATTTGAAGCAGGATTGCGAGCAGACCTTCAATGACTCTGGGGTAATCGGCAGAAGCCTATTGCATCCCGTTGATCAGTCACTCTGACTGGAGAAAACGAGCAATTTTGGTACGAGAAAACCTTACTTTGATCACTGACTGCAAGACACCGTGGAAGAGAGCAATGTAAGCTTCGTTCCTGGGAAGGGCCGACAACAGCACCAAATGCAGATGGACAGAAGAGTTGAACTGATCACAGAGTGCCATGGAACGGCTAAACAGGCGCTGGCGGGGGTTAGACATCCAGACGGTCTGCAGATTGCCTATCATGGCCGAGACATCGCGGAACTCTTGAAGGCGTTCGTCGAAGCCGACCTGATCTTGCTGCGGCAGATGTTCCTGAAACTTTTTCCAAGTCTGGGCCAATTCATTGCATTCAACGTCGAGTTTTGCAATTACGGGGTTCCTGAGGGCCAGTGGGTTAGAAATTCGGCTCTGGAATGTTTCCAGGTGATATGATGTTGATGACAACCGTCCAGCCGACGTGGTGTCAAACACGTGAAAGGACGGATGTGAGGAAACTTACGAAGAAAAATGTCTCTTCTCGAATCGTTTCTCCCACAGCCTGATGGCCATTTGATTGTTTTGAGGAGACTGAGAAGCCTCACAGGCAGAGGAAACGGCTAGAGATGTCATACTGATGCAGAATCACCGGGTCGAGATGGCGACTCGGCGCTGTTGGATGTCCGAAAAGGAAGACGAGGGGACGGTCTCGTCGAGGAGAGCGAAGTGCTCATGTCAGAAGCCAAAGAATTAATCAAGTGAATAGGTTCTCAACCGTTCTGTCGCCGAGCCATCAAATGCTGGGGGTCGTGAGTTTGTAGCTCTTTGTTCCGGAACGTTCTGCTATATTATGGAGGTTTGTCAGGGTTGCCTAAGGTAGGTACTATGATTATGATGGTTGGTGATCACCAGTAAGACTCTTGATTATCTATGGCAATTGCATGTTGTGCACTTTTTTTTTTGCAACGGAATGACCCGCCAAGCAGATGAATGGGACCTCTTCCTAAGTTGCTGGGGTCGACAGGTCGGACAAGGAGGGGAACTGATAGGTAAATAGGTACTCCGTAAGTACAGTCAGTAGGTAGAAAAGGGAAAAGAGGAGAGAAAGAGGGGAATAATAAGGGAGAGAAAACACGGCATCACCAAGAAAAGAGTACCTAAAGTACGAGACATGAAGTTTGAATTTTAGTTCCTTTTTTTTTACTCTTATGTTTACCTTTCTTTTATTTTTTCCTTTTTGCCCGCCTAATCTATTTTCTTTAGAGTGAAATTTCCTTTCAAGGTCTCTTAATGCAAGCAACAATAACAATCATGCCACTGGAGTATTAAGGTACTGAACCTACCTACCTACAACCCCAAGGAGGATAAGCCATCCTCTGGGTCGATTCAAGGCCTCGACTCTAGGCCAAACAGAGAAATCCACCTCCTCAGGCTCTGAGCAGGGAACCTTCAGGCCTCTGGACCATCATCAGCCAATCAAGGGAGCTGCTGACACGGGCAATGTGGCGTAGGTATGGATGGTCGAGGCCTCGAATAGAAGCGGGGACGGGCAGCGGATAAGATAATCCAGGCCGCCTTAGCCTATGGGACGCTCCGCTGCTAAATTTGGTCTTTCAGCGTGTTGTGATGGGTCATGGCTGGTGCTGCCTCATCCGGTGTCATCTTCTCCGGCACAAGCATCCTGGTCGCTGGTATCGATTCTGCTAAACTTTCCCTTCTGGATACCAACCTTGAGGAGATTGGTTTCCACAATCGCTGTTGGACTACATCTATAACTATGTATATATATCAGGGTTTGTTTCCGTCCACAGAAGAGTTCAACAGAGAGCTCGGCAGACAAGAATACTCAAAATGCCCCTCTGTTATTTCAGAAGGTCAAAGAAACATCCAAATATGTACTGCTCACTTCCTCTTTGGTCAAGTTAGACGGACATGTTTTGACTTCTCCTTTACCCCTATCTTCTAGCTCCATTCTTGGAATGATTGCCATACCAGAATTCCCTTTAGAGTTTGGCACTGAAAGGTCTCTCTATCTACTGTCTGACATCTGACACTGTCACCAGCCAAATCAGGGCTGCAAGAAATAGCTCATTCAACTAGGGTTATCGCTCATCAAGACGGACAAAGCCTAGGGTAGGTCAAAGACAGTCTCTCTGCGGGTCAGTGTCAGATGGCCTGAACCATCAAACCCCGTGAGCCACAGTTACTTCTTTGTTCGATGTGCATTGTCGCTTTGACATCCGAGTCAGATCTCATCCGGTTTTCCACGGTCGGTATCTGGGTTGTAGGTACTAGGTACTCAGGTAACGTAGTCATCCGTCTGCCACATTCCTGTTGCGCTTCTCAGAATCTGTACGCAATCCACCCCGGATCAACAGGAATGTACAATAACGCCTTACGTGGACCGACCGACGCAACCATTGATCCATTCAACACAATTGACAGGAAGGTATTTGTGCTTGGATTTAAGTTTGATAGCGACCTTGGCGCTCAAGAACCCACAGATGATGCTCGTAAACCCACCAGACGAAGGCTCTTGTCCCTTCATACGTCTGCTTTCTGTTGCTACGCATAATTCCAGAGGACACGACTGGCCATCCAGATCATTGTACTTGAGTCTTTTCTTTTTCTGGGTTGGAGCACACGGACCAAGTGTTGCTGTCAAAGAGATGCGACACATCTCCTTCCGCCAATCACCAATGACTACAGTGGAGCCACAGGGCTATCTGCTTCTTAGCTATTTGATCGGATAGAGCCGCCAGGAGTTGGCAGGTCAAATGTATCATTCTGGGGCATAGGATCGGAATCCCTGAATATATAGGATTCTTACTGTCCACGTGAAGTTTGCGCAAGACTTCTGAAGAGTTATCATTATGAATTGTTAGTTCATCGCAGGACCCCGACTCAACAATGACAGCGCCTAGGTAGTACCTAGTCTAGGCCCTTCTGCATTGGATACATGAATCCAATGTCGTCCTTCCCCTGATAGCGACTGCCAGACATGTCAGCTCTATGCAGATGCTTCATTTGCCATATGCATGGACGTGCATGGTGGCTTTGGAGACCTGGTTTCAAGATCGATTTATCTGCCTAGTCTCGCCAAGATGAAGGCGAGCGCGTCGATCGCAGCTATCCTAGAGGTCCTTCCATTGGTCAAAGCAGTTCAGGAGTCCTGTCGTCTGCATGAGCTATAAATTGAGACACCAATGCCTTTCTCTAAGAAGCTATACCAACACACCGCAATTTCGTTCATCACCCTCGGCTCTCCGAGTACGCATTCGCACTTTCTGTCGACCAAGCTCAAAGTATCCTGAGGCGCCTGTCTATGAGTCCGTCTAGCGTCAGGTGTAGGTATCTCTGATCCGTACTGTATGCATCGCAACCACACTGCATACACAGTTCAGAAGATGAGGACCCAAGCCAGTAAGACGAGATAGCATTCCACCCTTAGTGCAGCCAAGACAACATTAAGGGACTTTGTCAAAGGGAAGAATGCGGAGCTCGGAGTCTGAAGTCTGGACTTGTCGCATCACGTCCTAGTGGGCCCAGGAAATTCGTTTAAGATGCAGTGTAACCCATGGCATTTGAGGTGGCGGGATATTTGTCATTTCTGCCATTATTTTCAGGCAGGTAATGATGGAGTTGGACTTGATCTGCATTTTGACGGTCTCATTGTTTTTGGCGTTGTAAGAATGGAGAGTTGATTGTGGAGAGAAGCGCAGCATATCATATATGCAAAAGATGGACCCAATGACATGGTTGATAATGCTAGTAACCCCATTAGGTTCATATAAGCCCACTTCGGATTAAGCGTGTCCATAGCATTATTACTACGAAAGACGATGTGCTCTGTTCGAGAGTCGGACCCATTTCAGTCTCTTCGCTACCGGGGGTAAGGCGCTTGAGCCCGCTGGTCAATCATCACTGGGCGGGCAAACAGAGTCGGTATCCCGGTGATGGGTGCAAGTCTAGACTACGAAGCGCAACATCAACAGATAACAATGAGGCACAGGTGATGCTGAGAGTCTATGACATAAGCGGCCTAGGGGTCTTCTCTCGCCCAAATACGGTTACGAAGCCGCCAGCCTACTTCTAAGATAGTGCGATATGATATGATAAGGATTGGTGAAGATACTTGCTCCGATTCCGGAGTCAATGGATAGTCGGAGAATCACCGGAGATTTGTGAGGTTGATGAAGCCTAACGAAGTAACGATCGATATGTGGGTATCAGCAGGACTGAATATCTTTGCAAGAGGCTCTCGAATGCGATTTGCATGAAGTTAAAAGTAAAAGCAGCCTTGGGAGCCGGTTAATGAAGGGAGTGTGAATGTGGAATTGTGGGATCGGAATGGACAATTGATGGTCAACAAAGAGAGGTAAGCATCATGTGGTTTGCTTCAATCAACGTCAATAATGTTAATGACAATGTAATTAAACCCATGTGAAGGAGAACAATCTCCATGGTTAAGATCTACTCTTCATCAACGGCCAGCAAATCCGGAGCCGAGCTATATCCAGCGATGATGCAATGATTGCATGGCTGCTGATGATCAGATGCTTTTCATCAACCTGCTGCTACCACTCACTATCTACAATATGCCGCCGACTTGGCTCGCCAGTTAGCAGTCGACTGATTCCACAACGATTAGCATCAATTGCCATCTCGGCGGAGTATCGGAATATCTTCTCGCCCTTATTGGGAAATCAATAAGGATGATGCTAGATAGATCCATCCTTACCTTGGAACCTGGAGTGGGAAAAGTCTAATAAGATCATAATCAACTGCAATGATTCATCTTTTCCGCGGCCCAACGCCAGCGCGGTCACCTCATCCCATGGATCGACGTTAGCAAGCCCCGCACCAGGGAGATCATCGGAATGATTGGATTCGGAGGACAGTAGGACACCTGCCTTTTTAGTGTTTGGATGCGAGAGAGCGCCCAAGTATTCTGTGTACCAGTTGAGTAGTAGATAGAATCCTATCCTCAAGAGTGGCTGAGACGACAAAAAGAAAAAAGCGCTTAGTATCATCTATCGAATCTATTTGGGAGCACAGCCCCCCAGAAAGACGGCTGGATAAGATCGCACGCGATACTGAGGATGATCCCTTATCTTAGCTTCGATGGGCGGTCTTGTCCTTCTGTGTTTCCCGACTCTCCCCCAGGATTTGGACGTACTGGGAGAAATTCAGAATAATATCATTCGGTACCTAATGAAATCTTCTAACTCTTCCAAGTTCCAACCCCGGCCTCCAAAATCATTATGGAGGGTTGGATAAGATACTGTACCTACAATAGTTAGCGTCCTTCTGCTCCTGTATAATACTAGCACGCTTCTGAATCCTTACTGCCATCCTCAATCTATCCATTTCATAGCTGCGACCATCTTACGGTCTGGCCTACTTTTGGGAACATCCACAACAGAGCCAAGGATGGATGCATAGCCACTCTCATCTCACACTCTAATATCCTGGAGGGGGTTCCTTTTCCGATCGTGCCGGAAAGGGCTGGGAATACTCGCCGATCGCCAGTCGCTGTCCATCAGCATCGTCACACTTTTGGCCAGCACAAGGCACAAATCATCAACTAAGTACCTAAGTGTTTGACCTTCACATCTCACGCTAGTCAACCGCTGGCTGTCAATCACTTGTGAGGGTCCACTCCTGTTGTGCCCCATTGACAAGCCGACCGATGCTTGAAAGTGAAACTGAAGACTGGAAGGTGTTGGATACGTACTCAGATCAGCCCCGTTGTCGCTACGGCGTCCCACTCTTCTTCTCTCAATTGATCCCTTCCCTTTCTACCTTTTATGAATTTTCTCGGCTTCCCATTGCCAGATTCAATCCAATCCTTCCCGCCCCCATTATTATCCCCCGTTTCTATGTTGAATGGTCGTGCATTATTATTTGAAATAATTCGGCCATCCCTTCGGTCGCCTGCATTAGAATTTGTAGTCGCCGTTGGTAAGGGATCAACCCCGCCGTGGAAGAGGCTGTTCCATTATTGATAGTCGTTTTACCTTCCTCTTTTCCCCTTTATTTCTTTTTTCCGGTTCTTTTCGCGTTGTGGATTACTGCACGGAGTACAGGATCCGTGAGGACCGTGACTAATGATATTCTGTGCACCCCCATAACTAGTTGGCTACCCTCCGCTGTTTCCGTAAGCCTCGTCACCGTGGGGAAATCCCCCATCGATCCGGGCTGGTCCTTTTCAATAATGGAGCCCAGACAAATACCCTCTGTGTTTCCTTATTCCTATTCTTATTTCTCTTCGTCTCTTTTTCTTTTTATTCTCTTCCTTACTCTATCGTCCACCGTTCGAGCGACAGGGTCTTCGGCAGGCTGTACCGTCCTGCCGTCGAATAGCTCTGCGGATCTGTCGTTCACCAACCAAAAGAGGTTCCATCTGCAGAGCAATCAATACACCGTTCCGTCGAACGCTATTGTCGCACCTCTGACCCAAGATTTGATCAATCTAAACGGTACTGACCTTCAGGTGAGTTCATATCTTCAGAGATAGAAGTCACACATAGGACTAATGATATCATAGGGGTTCAATGTCACCGGGAATCCAGTGGATGTTGGCGCATACAACTCGCTCAGTTTGAGTACAGGTGATATTGCCCTTGTTAGCTGCGACACGTCTCTGTACCCAGGCAATCTGGATGCCAGTGCAACCGTATCGAATCTTCTTACAGCGCAAGAGAAGGTATCCGCGGTTCTTCTGTACAGCGCTTCTGCTTCCCATTGCAACTATACCGCCAACAACGACGTTGTCGGCCAATATACCAACGTTTTCACCCTTTTGAACCCAGCCTTTGCCGAATCGCTTAGGGTTCAAATCAGTAAGCAGAACGGGAACGGCTCTCTCAGCATTGTCTACAACATGTCCTTCGTGGGAACAGTCACCCCGTCGACCCAGGACGGGTCAACGGACAGCCCCAATACTGGTGCGTTTCTCTCCCCCGACAAGGCTAGGGTCCTCCTAACCAACTGAAATCTAGCCATGATCATCCTGTACAGCATCACTGGCATTATTACTGCGCTTTTCTTAGCAATCATTATTACCGGGGCTATCCGGGCTCACCGCCATCCGGAACGCTATGGCCCCCGATACACGGCGGGGCGGCCTCGACAAAGTCGAGCGCGAGGGATAGCAAGGGCGATGCTGGATACGATTCCCATCGTCAAATTTGGGGATAGTTCTGACCCCAGGACAGACCCCGTCAAGGGTGATGTGGAGATGTCCCTCGGGACCGAAGAGGAGAGGGTCATTGAGCGTCGAGAGGCACCCGCTGCCGATGGATCCCCTCCATCTGTGACTGTTGGCCAGCGGAATGATGAAACCGAAACCGCCAATGCTGAAACCGACTCCGAACGGCGAGGCACACCGACACCCGCGACAGATACGGAATCGCCGAATGAGCATCCAAATTTTTCCTGTCCGATTTGCACGGATGACTTCATCAAGGGTCAGGACCTCCGCGTGTTGCCCTGCAACCATCAATTTCACCCTGAATGTATCGATCCTTGGCTGGTCAACGTGTCGGGCACTTGCCCGTTATGGTATGTTTTTATGTCGTTACAGCTCAGATATAAAAGCTGACATATCATTAGCCGGATCGACCTCAATCCGCCACAGGCCGAGGAGGAACAAGAGCAGGGTGAGGGAGGCAACAACAATGCATCTCAAGACAACGCGACTGCACCAGCAGCAGACGCTACTTCAAGTCGTCAACATCGCCGGATATCTTCGTACCTGCATGGCCCCTTGAATGCCCGCCGGATGCGCGATGCCACCGTGGAGGAAAGACTTGCTGCGCTCCGGAGCGTACGGGAGGAAGCCAGCCGGGACGCTAGCAACGAAGAGGCAGAGCGCCGACGCAATCGACTGACGGCACGGTTACGCGAGCGATTCCGTATACGAACACGCACATGTGGAGTCGAGGCTACGGCGCAACCATAGATTCGCTGCGGACATTGTCACCCAGCGATGCGAGTTGGATGCCAACTGATCGATTTCGATTTGCAATCTCACATATCGCCTCAGTATAGAAGACTTCCAGTCATCTACGATTCATTCTTCTGTGTTATATTTCGATTTTGAATTGAGGTACCATCAGGGCATGGTATGGCTTGCAAGGTCCGCCGATATTTATTGGATACTGCTCCATTTTCAGTTTTTGTCTGGATGATTGATGAGTATATGGTTATGGTTATGGTTACGGTTATGGGCGATACAGGGCGTTTTTTGGAGATTGGAGTCTTGGGTTCAGCGGCCTCAAAAAGATCTTTTGCATTTGGCATGATTTCACTTCTTTATACATATATATGTACGTGACTCCAAGAATGAATGCATCACATACCATCTGTGTTAGTATCATTCCAGTTTCGACATCTTTCACGTAAGAGGCTTTCCGGAATCCGGCGACGGCTTCGACAGAATTTCCTCATTCGGAAATAGTCCACCCCGTGGGGAAAATGGACGGGGATGGTGGATTCATGGCGGGCCACGAAGCCCACGATGCTGTTGATTTCCTTTTTTCTCGCATTGTGATTCGACACGAAGGCCGAATTCTACAGTCGTAAGGCTGGGGTCTGTATTTGCCTCCATTCATTTTTGAGTGGCCTGACTGTTAGCTACAGCTGAAGATTCTACGAAACTGCCGCTGCGCGAATACCCAGTTTCCTGGCGAGTTCACACTGGTGTATCCCGAAAAGAATGCATGTACTATTACTCTATAGAATCGCAAACACTACCTGGGCAAGATATTGTATATATAGTGGTATCTACTCGGAATCGCGGAGTGGATGCCGGGGCCAGAACCGAAATTTAATCACACATCTTACCTCTGATATTATCTAAGAGGTTAATCGGGGTAACTCCGCCGGGTGACCCTCCTTTTTTTGCCAACTGGAAAAAAGATCTTACAAATTGATGGGGAGGTCGGTTAATTATTGACACTTCGGAAACTGGACTCTGGTATTTGGGAATTAACAATAAGAATACCTGTAGGTTATCTTCTGGTCAAGAAGTCTGGATTATGATTTGACAGAGGGCTAAAGCTGTATGGTTGTTAAGCATTGTTATCATGCGCTCTTTAAGTAGGTAGATAATTACTTGTGATGGTGATGGTCCTGCTGACTTTATAGCCTCGGTGGTTGGTTGGCCCGAACATGACGCATGCGACGAATATCATTCGAGGTCGAAAGGACTACAGAGTAGACAGCTCCTGAGTAAACCATCTCGAGGATAAGATCATAATACTTAAAGTGCTTTAATAAAGGACACTGGCATGTGATGTCGTCATGCCATTGTGCTATAATCGGCATCGGGGCAAGCAAGTTCCTCGGCTCGCCGTCAGGAGAAAAATCACGCTTTGGGTCGGGTGAAGTTGGGTTGAATGATTCTCTTACATAAATAGCGAAAGGAGGGAGAATGAGTACCTCTCTAATGGACTGATTATTTGTTTTTGACTCGGTTCTTATCTCATTGAGTATTATTGACTCAGGATCAGGATTGATACTATTCCCATCCCCAATATTACCCTTTTCAGACACAAAAAGATACCCCTCACTGGGCCTGGATTTCCCCTCATCGACTTATCTTTCTCTCGGTCTGCAAATCTTCAATATATCGCATTCCCTGCCTATCATATTATCAAGGAACGCTTGAGATAACTCCGTCGGGATTTATCTGCTTCTTTCTTGGGCCTGTCAGACTGTCTCCGCCCGGTGAACGCAAGCAGAATTCCTCTTGTGACTGGAGAATGATCGATCTCCAAAAATAAACCCCAGTCATTGCTGAGTTTGTTTCGAGAGCGAAAACAGAAGATCCAGAACAGGAAAAATTCCCGCATTTTGTGTTTCCATTACTCATACCATTTTTGGTGCTGGCCTTTATTTACCCGTCATTTCATTCTCATCTGCATTCTGCGCCATGTCTTCCCCGCGTCTACCCACTTCTCCTACTACAACTACTACTACCTCTACATCCTCCTCTTCCTCTTTCTCATCAACCTCTCTCTCATCATCATCATCATCCTCCTCCTCCATCGCTCGAAGTCGTCTCGCCTCCCTTTCCTCACACATCATGGGTTCCTCCAGCCCGTCCGTCTTCTCCACGGCCGTTGTGCCCGCCGCTCCAGAAGATCCTCTCTTCGGTCTGGCTCAAGCTTTTCGTCAGGATCCATCGGACAAAAAGGTCGATCTCGTCATTGGCGCCTACAGAGACAACAATGCAAAGCCTTGGATCCTTCCTGTAGTAAAAAAGGTGATTCGCTATCCCCGTCACAGCATCCTGATGAAGGAGCATGCGACTGACAGATTTGATCCAGGCCGACGAGGCGATCCGCAACGACCCCAACCTCAACCATGAATATCTCCCCATCAAAGGTCTTCCAGATTTCACCTCGGCCGCTCAAAAGCTCATAGTCGGTGCGGATAGTGCAGCCATCCGTGAGAAGCGAGTATGTTGACCCGCGCTCACTCCCTTAGAACGCCTTGCGACCGTGGTTGGATATCGGAAAACTAATCGGCGGGCTGATAACAGGTCTGCACACTGCAAGCCATTTCGGGAACAGGTGCATTGCACCTGGGCGCATTGTTCCTGGCCAAATTCCACCCCCTACCCCCCAAGGTCTACCTCTCCAGCCCCACCTGGGCAAACCACCACCAGATCTTCACCAACGTCGGCCTCACCCTCGCCAACTACCCCTACTTCTCCGCCAAAACCAAAGGCCTTGACTTCGACGGCATGCTCGTTGCCCTGCGCGAAGCTCCACCCGGCTCCATCATCGTGCTGCACGCCTGCGCTCACAACCCCACCGGCGTCGACCTGACCCAAGATCAGTGGAAGCAGGTCGCGGTCGTCCTGCGCGAGCGCCAGCACTTCCCCTTCTTCGACACAGCGTACCAGGGCTTCGCGTCCGGCGATCTCTCCCGTGACTCCTGGGCGATCCGCTACTTCGTCGATCAGGGCTTCGAGCTCTGCATCGCCCAGTCCTTCGCCAAGAACTTTGGTCTGTACGGTCAGCGCACCGGCGCCTTCCACTTCGTTTCGGCCCCCGGCCCCGATGCCGCAACTGCCAATGCCCACATCGCCTCCCAGCTAGCCATCCTGCAGCGTTCCGAGATTTCCAACCCGCCTGCGTACGGCGCGCGCATCGCCAGCCGCATCCTCAATGACCCCCAGCTCTTTGCCGAGTGGGAGGAGGACCTCCGGACGATGAGCGGCCGTATCGCGGAGATGCGCAAGGGTCTGCGGGAGCGCCTCGAGGCAAAGGGCACCCCCGGCAACTGGGACCACATCACCAGTCAAATCGGCATGTTCAGTTTCACCGGATTGACCGAAGCGCAAGTCAAGATTCTGAGAGAAAAGTGGCACGTGTACATGGTAAGTGGCTGTTTCTCCTTTTATTAGCGGCGCCGGCTAGACACCGCAATTTCTGGGGTTCTCCGCCCCGCTCCTCGAACCATAGCCGCGGCAGTTGCAGACGACAAGCTAATATTTTATTCTCTAGACCAAGAACGGCCGTATCTCAATGGCGGGCCTCAACACAAATAACATCGATTACTTCGCCGAAGCGGTCGACAGCGTCGTCCGCGAGACCTCATAATCGCTTCGCTTCTGCTCCTTTCTTCGCCAGATATCCGTCCTCCGTCATGACCCGTTCGCATCTCTTATCCATTCTAATTACCCCTTCGCATCTTCGGATGGACTGTATTTTCTTTTTACTCTGCATGGCCCGTCGGATTGAGCCGTTACTCTACTCGCATATGTAGATCGCCTTGAGCGAGGGTTTTCCCTGAATGAACTCATTCTCAACCACATGTAATGCATCTGATTAGAATGGTATCGTAGTAATATGTCCAGTAAAATCATGCCAGCCAGCTAGAAAATCAAATCCCACACCACAAGCCACGTACACAGTCCCACCGTCCCCCAAAACACCGCCTGCGCCGTACTCCGTTGCTGCGTCGCGCGCTTCAGCTCCTTGTTCCCCTGCCCGATGTTCGACGTCGTCGTGGAAGCATCCGTGACCAGCTGCTCGATATACTCCTCCTGCGTCGACAAATGCGACACAAGCGTCTGCTGGAGGGAGGAGATCTCCAGGAGCGATTTCTCGGCATTTCTGCACAAAAACACCATTAGCATTTCGCCAGCCCAATTCCGTCAGAGTGTACGATAAGAGTAGAACATAACATACTGTACTTTACTCAACGCATCCTCATACTGCCTCAGCATGAGATCATTCTCCTCGGCAAACAACTGCAATTGCTCAGGAGACAGCTCCGCCTCGATAGCCGCTGACTCGGTCTCGCTCAGCGTCGCGCCGCGCAAGTGTGGTTCCGCGGTTGTCGGGCCCGACATAGACACAGAGGCAGAGGCAGAGGCAGAGAGGGGGGCCCTAGCCCCGCCCGCCTCACTCTTATAGAGTACGCTCTTCTCCTTCTCGCGGACGCGCTCGATGCGCTTCTCGACCATATCGCGCTGGGCCTCGGCCGCGCGCTCGAGCCCCCGCCGCAGGAACCAGAGGATGCTCTCGCGGACGGCGCGGAGGGTGCGCGCGCGCTCCTCGTCGTGGATCTGCTCGGGGGATTTGTTCTCGGTGGGGGTGTTTGCGAGGGCGCTGGCGCCGCCGGCCCAGCGGAGGAGGGCGGACGGGGCGCGGTGTTTCTTGCGGAGGAGGCCGGATTCGGTTTCCTGGCGGAGGGATTCTGCGGTCGAGAGGTTGGCGATTGAGGAGGAGAGGTCGCGGAGGAGGAGGGCGGTGGAGGAGTCGATGGAGTCGCGTTCGGTGTCGGTGAGGGGTTTGCTTTGGGGGGTGCTGGTGCTGGTACTGGCTGTGGTGGAGGTGGTCGGGCTGGTGCGGAGGGAGGTGGTGCGGGGATGGACGGTTGGGGTTGTGGAGAGGTAGGAGTGGCGGATGGATTGGAGGTAGAGGAGGAGAGAGTGGATGTGCGAGTTCTATTGTGTGTTAGCATTGGGTTTGACATTGAGAGCGGGAGGCACACTGACTATTCGGTATGCTTCTTTGAGGAACTCGTCGGGGGTTGCGGTGGACGGGGGACGAGGCTCCCCCTTGGGGATTGTGGTGCTTGCATGTTTGTCCTTGAGGAGATGGTTGATCTCTGAGGTAATGTCGGTCATTTTGAAATAATCCCTCAGTAACTGATTTACGGAGATTGTGATGAGCTGTAGCTGGAGAGACGCAACAGAAGAAGCCTCGCTGTCAACAATCAACGTCACTGCGCAGTGGGTCTCTATGGCTGTCCGCATTCCCGTGATCCGACTTGCCCTAGTCTTTACTCTTAGCTAAGATACATTAAGAGATACATTTTACTGCAGTTGCTGGACAAAAGTACGCTACATATCAATCAATGGGTATCCATATAAATACATAAGCGGAAATAAGACATCTCGCTCGTACGAATCATCAAAGGGTATAAATCATGCAACATCGAAAAGTCAGCACTGACAGCACCAAGAATGCAACAGCAGAGACTGGCTCTCTGCTCATCTATAACCAGAAAATCCTCTTGCAAAGAACGCCTCCAGAACTATATCATTGGTCTTTCTTCAACCCATATCTAAAGCCAGTCAGTTACCGCTCATTTCACAAACGCGTGGACCGGACTCACCTCCATCTTGCCCATCTCGCTGCCCTCCCTCCGAGCTGCCTCGGTGGCCGAACTCAGCAGGAGGTCTAAATCCTCCTGATCCACCATTGTAATCATATCGCCCTCGTCCTGCATTCGGATTCGTAGAAGCGAGCGGAAGCCAAACTTCTCACGGATCTTGGCTTCAAACTCGCTGTACTCCATCGTGGGCCCGATCATGATATACCGGGTATCTTCAAAAGCATGAACTTTGATCCGGAATCTGCGGACATCAGGCCTGCGTGAGTCGGCTCGCCTTGACTCTCGGACCGGTGATCTGGTTCGTCGCTGCGAGCTGCCGGGTGTCTCGTAGATGCCGCGGGCACCATGTACACCACACGTATCGCCCACGTATTCCTCTTCTTCGTCAATGTACCGTTGCTGCTGAGGAGGCATGCCTCTTCGTCCGCTACTGGTCATAGATCGTGGGCTTGTGTACACTCCGCACCCGTCCTCACCGTAGCCATTCCGAGGGATTGATGCAGAACTTGTTTCGCTGGTTCCTCTTCTGTGGCTTCCCGTTTCCCGAGAAGGAAGATATCTGTCGGTCTCTGGACCATTGAGCCCTCGTGGATAATGTCGGTTGGGTGGTCCACGGGGTTCAGAGGCCGTACGAGTCGTCCCAATCCGTGGCTTGTCGAAAGCGGACATGTCTGCGCTACTCCTCCCATTGGGCTGAGAGCCGGGTCGACCGAGATTGAGCCGAGGAGGCCGCGCCGCCCGAACCGAACCTGGTCTACCACTGGCACCCACGCTACTACCGGAAGAGGTCTTTGTGCTAGCCTTGTCACCTTCTGGAGGTGGCGTAGGTGGGAACAAAGTGCGGGTTAGCGGGGGTTCCGACTGCTGACGACTTCGTCCCGACAGATTCTTTTGCACCAGGTTCGTGGCAGCGAACGAGATACTGTCGGCGGGGCGGTCATCGAACGCTGATTGAGTTCGTATTAAATCTGTAGATTGATGTCCATTCCGCATGTTGCCTTGCGATGACGCTGCGATCAGTCTCGCCTTGCCTAGATAGTCTTTTGTTTTGAGATTCTTGACTTTGGCCTCGTTGGGTCGATAGACAACTCCCACGGGAATCGAGAATACCGTGTACCCCTGCTTCGGTCAGCAAAAACTCAACAATCAAGGCACTATAAGTTATACCTCTGCCCTCTCCCGAATGGCATCGTCAATGACATCGTGGTCGGGAGTGACCTTTTCTTTCACTGCGTATTCGAGGTCCTGCATGCCTGGACCCATTTGCTGTAGGTAGATATAGCAGAGTCCCCGATTGAACAAGACCTCACACGAGAAGAGACGGAATTTCAGGCCCAATTGCTCATAGTCAATGGATGTATTGCCCCGGAGATAGAGAAGGGTGTCATTGAAATTGGCCAATGCTTCTTCAAAATCGCCTAGAAGGAAGTTGGACACGCCTTCTTGGAAATAGGCAATGGCAAGGTACTGGTCTAGACTGACGGCGCGTTGGTAACATTGGACCTAGCTGAACGTTCAGTGGACTTCCGTCAAATGGTTTTGATGAATAACCATACGGCTTTTTCATGCTCTCCCAGCGTTGCATAGATGACTCCACAGTTGAAGAATATCTTGGACGTATCCGCAATATGACCAAAGATCCGTATGGCTTCCTCATACTCTTGATTGTCGTAGTGTTCCAGAGCCAACACCCATGTCTCAATTTCCTGCTCTATGTCAGAATCTGCATTGCGAGATCGAGGGGTCACTCATACCTGTTTCAATGACATCTTTCCGTAGGATCAAACTCTACGTCTGCGCCTCTAAATGACAAGCAAGAAGAAACTGCAATAGCTGACGATATCCCCGTCCCACTCAGCCCCAGGTAGTGTTTCGACCTCTGTGCGGCCTGAGAAACAAACAGGAGTCGAGACGAGGAAAGCCGGATGATAGTCTCCCACACAACGGAATAGTAAAAGCAGGGTTAAGTTATATATGGCGGTCACTGGAAGCCAAGAGGCTGACCACTTTTTCTGATATGCAAGATAGTGGGCTGGCGCAGTGAGCAGGGGTATTAATGAGTCCGACGGGATGCGCGTAGGAGCTAAAGCTGCGGGGCGGAGGGCCTTTGAAGAACCAGGAGGAAGCCCTTCTCTCGTGGTGCGGTGATGGTACTTTGTGGCTTGAGTGCCCAGCAGCTAGATAGCCTGTCTTTTGCAATCCGAGAATCTGCTATTCTGGACAGAATGCCCAGCCGATCCCGTGAATCTTAGTCCTCCCGTGATCCTGGACGAACGATAGGTCTGAAGTTATAATTAGATCATCCGGTGGTCTAAGACAGCCGAAAGCCCAAAATCTGCTAGTAAGAAATGAGCATAGTATGTCATATGGATTGATCGATTCTTCAGATTCCTGTGCCAGTCAAGCTGCTTTCTGAGACTTTTCTATTCTCCAGCACCTGGCCGATTTGAACGGTGCCTGATACGAAGTTCTTGAGTAGAGATTGGCAGGACGGAATGAGCGACAAGGAGTCGTCATAAAAAATAATTAAGCAGGGAGGAAAACGAGGGGGAAGCAAGGAACGTTCAGAGATGTGGCCTGCAGCAGAAGAAAAATGGCAAGGATACGAATCAGTCCCCTAGTGTGTGTCCACCTTACTCAACTGAGGAGAAGAAGCCGGGCTAGCGTTCTGTACAGAGTAGGTATGTCAGAGGCATGAGTCGAGTACTACTAAATCAGAGATGCGCACCGAGATTGGGAAACTGGAGACTCACTGGAAAGGGGGGAAATAATTACAATCGTTGATCAAAGTGGACTGCCAAGGAAGTGACGGAGAAGAGGGATGCAGTTCAATTGATGATTTGATGCTCCTGAATAGCCGTAAGCGCCCAGCGTCGAGAAGGATAACATCCTGGGTGGTTGTCATGAGGATTATCCCATCCTCCACTTATATTATATTATTAGCTTTCCCCTGCAGGTGCGCAGCCCGACAGGACGTTGTGGGACGGCTCATGGAGGAATCGGTGACTTGGATGAGGGGAGAAATTGATTTCCTCCTCTTTCAAGGGATCTGATTTGATCAAGAACTGTGCAACAAGATTCGATAATCACGAAGTAAGGTGAGCAATCAAGGGTGAAGAAAGGCGAACGGGCCCTTGTCCTTGGTGATGCGAAGGTGTGATTGATGGGCTCCAGCAAAAGGCCCGTCCCGATCGATGCGGGGCCATCCTTTACCATCACATTCCCAGACTGTACTCTTGCCTTCAAGGGGGTCTTCTATTATTCTCAACTCATTGTCAGGCCATTCCTACGTTAATGGGGTCTAGATATCCATTACTGACTTGAAATGAGATGGCAGAATCCTTCAAGTTTCCCGCAGCTAATAAGATAGATGCTTCCACCAACTCTTCTCAAGCTAACACTCCTCCAGCAAATCGACTGGTTTTAGGCTCTCCCGCATCCCCGCCACGGCGCTTGTACAGACTGCCATCAGTGGTTTCGGAAGATACATCTCTTCAAGACTCCATCTAGAGCAATAGAGATGGCTTCGGCCCTTATTACCATGCTAGGAAAACTTCGGTTAGTGAACAGCATGATTAGCTCGCTAATGACGGAGTAATACACTTACTGACCTTAGTCTGCCACTAGCTGCTTGGGTATCTAGGTCTCCTCAATTATTGATCGTGAACTAGAACTCACGGTAGTCATGTAGACGATAGCATGGCAGCCACTAGCTCGATTTTGGATGCAAGGAGAAGACGCTGTCATCGGTCAGACAGGGTTGAACAATACTATCAATGCAGGAGAAGAAATTCCTGTCCAATGACCATCTCCTGGCGCTTGCTCTCAAGACTTCGTCTGTCTATATTTAGGCCTCTGCTGCCTTTTCTGCGGAGGTGTTCTGTCATGCCGCGTTGTTATCTGGGATCTCGATCCGATGGTCACCTGTTTGGACACAATTGTCTGTTGTTCTTGTCATGATCAATTTGTGTCCTCGCTCGCACTCAAAGTCCGCGAGATACACCGCCAGCGCCAAGTGCCCAGTGCTCACTGTCCACACAGTGGAGGTTCGGAGTATCGAGTCCCACTGAGAATCTTACAGGTCCCAGTTCCCTTTACGCCTACGATTCTTGCTCGAGCGTGGCTGCAGTGCTCATGCAACAAATCATTCTGTTCAATTGACATCATCTCCGCGATAGGTATCATAAATCCGTGCAAGATTTGGGAGACAGTCTAGACTCCAAAAGTCTACACCATTCCCTGAGAGACCTGTTCCTGTCGCTCCTGCCATACATTCTTCCCCGAACATGAGCAGACAATCTTGTCATTATCCCACACGCCCGCACTGCGAGCGATCACACCGACTAACGTATCAGGATCCTCTCGTTGAAATGGGCCTTCCTGGCTCTTGGATACGACCATACTCCGCCCAATCAGCTCCCAAATCGCCACCGGTCGATCCAAGAAGACATTCCCCCGGCCCTTGTTATCCACATCCACACTCCCAAACACGCCGCGCGGCTCCTTGGGCGCCTCGGAACCCATTACCTTAGCCTTCAAGGCCTCCCAGATACCCCCCGTAGATTCTGCGCCTCGCGAGATATCCCCCGCTTCCCGGACAGTCGCCCAGTATTTTCCCGGTGCCAGCCCGTTGATGGTCAGATCTACCAGAGTCAGGTTCGAGGACACCTGCACCATGCGTGCCAGTCCACGGATCTTATTCGATACGGCCGTCGAGTGCGTCTCTAATATGCAGACTGCAGAACCTGTCGCGTATCGCATCACCAGATCAGTACCGCCCTCGCAAGTCTGTCCGCCCAAGGGGAGGTATAACGTACTGTTTGATGTGCCGCTTCCACGTAGAATCGCATCCCGACCAGTAGCTTGGATGGCAGTGACTATCGAGCTAGGTGGCGCTGTGCCCTCGATGAGGACAAGCTGATCTTTAAGATTCGTTTCAACCTTCTTGACGCCTGCGTAGGACGGACATGCATCAGTACACATGGTTATCAGCTAAAGGCCCTGCCTCACTAAACACGAACCTTCCACATTATAAAGCGAGTTAGTCACATCTTTAACACAGCTTTCACAGGTCATGGGCACCGCGAAGGTGGTCTGCCATCAAGTCATTAATCGCAACGGCACCGTGCAACCATATCAGCCAAGAAACCAAAACAAACCTGGAATGGCTCAATCATTTCGGTATGGCGCTAAAAAGCTCCAGAGAATATATCCTCACAATTAGAGAAGATAGAGAAAAAGAAATCAATAATTTTAGAAGCTGTATTTAAAGCAGAAGAACATACTCCGTCGCCCTCCGCGAGTTAATAATCATTGCGGGACCAGGCGGGGGCTTTGAAATCGGCGATGGAGTTCGGCCCTTCGATCACATTCCCCAAGTTTGGTTATTCCGATAGCGTCACCATACCAGCCGGGCTGCACCATCTCCTTTCCGAATTCATCTCCCAACCCAAAGCGGATTTAAACGCTACTGGTCACTGACATATTCGAATTCATCAGCAAATCTACAGGTTTTGGATTCTTCCAATTCCTGATAGGGGCCATGTCCGCCCCGTCCAAATCACGCTGGGCCGCTGAAGACCCCGAGGAAGACGCCATCCTCGCACAACGAAAACGCGAAAAGGAAGAGAAGAAACGCGCCAAGGCAGAGAAACAGCGTCAGCTGGAGGAGCAAGCACGACTCCAGACCGCACAAGCCACGCTGCAACAGCAAGGAGACGCGCTCAATGGGGACTCGGAAGCTCCGCCCAAGAAGCGTCGCCGGCTGTCGAACGAGCAGTCCCAGCCCTCCGCAGCGTCGGGGTCTGCAGCCAAAGCACCAGCCGAGCAGACACGGTCGACACTCCTGCGGTTTCCGGGGCCGGAGTGGGGACCCTGTCGGCTTGTGGATAACTTTGAACGGCTGAATCATATCGAGGAGGGTTCGTATGGGTGGGTGAGTAGGGCGAGGGACATCACGACCGGGGAGGTGGTGGCTCTCAAGAAGCTCAAGATGGAGAATTCGCCGGATGGGTTCCCGGTAACGGGATTACGGGAGATCCAGACGCTCTTGGAGGCTCGCCATACAAGCATTGTGTATCTCCGCGAGATCGTCATGGGGACTAAAATGGATGAGTATGCTTGGCCCTCCCTACCCTCTGCCCCCAGTCTTTCAATGCCCTCTTCCAGCGTTGGTGTTGTTTCGTCCTGAAAAGTTCAAGATACACCAGTATTAACCAATTCGGGGCTCTGGGCACCTCTATCCCGCCAACAGTGTATTCCTCGTAATGGATTTCCTCGAACATGATCTAAAAACCTTACTCGACGACATGCGCGAACCGTTCCTCCCTTCGGAAATCAAGACCCTCATGCTTCAAATCCTTTCCGGCCTCGAGTTCCTCCACTCCCACTGGATCATGCATCGCGATCTGAAGACCTCAAACCTCCTGATGAACAACCGCGGCGAGATCAAAATTGCCGACTTCGGCATGGCACGGTACTACGGCGATCCGCCGCCGAAGCTGACGCAGCTGGTTGTAACGCTCTGGTACCGTTCCCCGGAGCTCCTGCTGGGCGCAGAAAAGTACGGGCCGGAAATCGACATGTGGAGTATTGGGTGCATCTTTGGCGAATTGCTCACCAAAGAACCCTTGCTGCAGGGTAAAAATGAAGTCGACCAAGTATCAAAGGTAAAAGATCTGCTTTCCTTTTGACTTTTATGTCCGTTCGCGCTGACAGAGAAACCCAGATATTCGCTCTCACGGGCCCTCCTACCCAGCAAACGTGGCCTGGTTTCCGCTCCCTTCCTAATGCCAAATCACTTCGCCTCCCACCTACATCCTCATCGGGGCCGACGGAAACCCCTCCGTTACTGCCCCGCTCAAAATTCCCCTTTCTCACCAATGCCGGTCTCCGGCTTCTGTCGTCTTTACTGGCGTTGAATCCAAGTGTGCGCCCTACTGCTCAGGATTGTCTCTCACATAAATATTTCCGGGAGGACCCGCGACCAAAGCCAAAGGAGATGTTTCCGACCTTCCCATCAAAGGCAGGCATGGAGAGGCGAAGGCGTCGTGAGACTCCAGAGGCGCCGAAGCGCGGTCAGGAAGCTCCCGCCTTGGACTTTGCCAGTGTATTCGGTGGTCAATCCAGTGGCGATACCGGGGAAACAGGCGCTGGCTTTACCTTACGTCTGGGTTAGCCTTTCATGCTACTAACTGCGAGTTTTCAAGAGATATGATTAAGGCAAGACCAGCCTTCGTGTCTTGGGCACACAACTGAAGGAGTCTGTTTTTCTGATTTCCTGTGAACAGAAACATCTTAGCGGTAGGCATCTATCAGAAAGAGGCTCTGCATACATGATTTGTACAAATGAGTGTCATTTCCAACCTGTGCCCATTCAACCCAGCGATCCTTGCCGCGGGCGCTTGAGCCAAAAGTATACAAGGCCCATTAACAATACAGAGACAATGAAAATGGCGCAAATCGCGCATTCCGATTCCAGCTTCTTCCGTTGTGCAGTCGTGTAACTTACGTATAACCCGGACATTATGGGAATTGACGTCGCTCCCACATGGGGTAAGTAACAACACACTCATCAGTGGAATCGCTTGCGTCTCGTTCGAGACTCGGCAGGTTACCCCGACGCGAAGCGTACATACCTGGTCCGACAATCTCCGGGATCTCCTGCGTTCTGACTGACATGTTACGGTCGAGTCCCGGACCACTGTAAATTCTACCGTCTCTCGCAATTCGGCTTCCTGTTTTTATAGGATTGTCTCCTCGATCGGGGGGAATATCACTCGATTTACCGTCGACAAAGAAGAACTCGTCTCTGAAAATCAGGGAGGCGAGTGCGTCATCGATCTCAATTGGTGACCGGACGAAATCTGAATCAGACGTGTCATCTTCAGCCTGGCTTGGAGAGGGTGGTCTTCGAGCCGCGCACGGGTCAGAACTGTTTTGGATTCCAAGGAAATCAGTGTCGTCCAAAGCGGGCAGCAGGCAGCTCGCAGTTCCTTCTTCCTGCGCGCTCGATCTCGCTTCTGATGGTTCCTATGATTTTGTCAATGACGAGCGGGTAACATTAAAAGTGATACTAACCGTGATGGATGCACCAGCATGAGTTACCTGCGTCTCTCCTGCGTTCGAGTGTCTAGACTGCTGAGACTCTGTCTCTGTTGGTACATTTCCATCCTCGGAATGGTCGGCTGGAGCATGGTGAATTGCCCGTGACATGAGATCGTTTTCTGCAACGTCGCTGCAACATAACGTTTGACCGCCGCTGCTGCATTCTCTTGACGACGCAAACAATTCAAGCGTTCCCATCATCAATTGGACGGCTGGTATCTGCCGAAACGTTGATTCACGAGAACTGACCGAGGATGACCCGGACGGGGAACGGCTAGAGACATATACACAAGCGATTGAGTCAGTTGAACCAGAAGCGATGGGTGGTAGAGCGATCTCGTGGCCTCGTGTTGACTCATTGGGTTCCCGCACATTTGGATTGAGCAACTCTTCAGGACCCTCAGTCGCGGTCGGCTTCTCAAGGTTGATAACTGGCGAATGGGGTGGAATAGGGCTTGAATGATGGACCTGTGAGCATAAATCTTTCATACAGTTCTCACTCGGCTGCGAATTCATGGGAATCTTCCGGGATGCTGCCTTCGATGTTTCTGATGATGTTGTGTGTACCGTCGTCGCTTCTATTCCGGTAAGCTCAATGAGGCTGACAGATGGCGAATTGGAAATGGCATGAGTCGAGGTCTGGACGATTGTACTTGATCCGCCCGGGGTGTGACCGTGGTACTCGGTGATGTGCTCTCGAGGGGACCCCACCGTCGTTGCTGTCTTTGACGCACCATCCACCCCTCCTTCTGACGTACCATTGACCCCTCTCTTTTCCTGTGCGGCTAGGGAGCTCCTCAATCCAGTGCTCTCTAAGCCCCGGCCGACGGTACAAGGCAACGGCGATGTGGAAGGTACAATGTTATGGCTGTGATCTTTCAGAGCTTCACTTGAGGAATGGTTTCGAGTTGTTCGATAGAGACCGGTGCCGAACTCGTGATCGTCTTCTGTGCTAGCGTCCGACACTGACGACGGAAAATGATCAGATGAGTCCTCTGTAGAGTCTCTCGAGGACCAAATACTAGGTATATCACTTCTTCGAGCGTGGCTGCCTGGAAGCGGTCGTCTTTGCATTCCAGAACGAAGGGCCAGAAGACCTGATCGCGCTTTGCGAAGGGACCTTCTCGGCAAATCCTGCATCCAGCTAACTGGATTCTGTGTTCTAGATGCTTGAGATCGGTAGTAATCACTTTGCAGCCACAAAGATGCGGACGCTGCAGGGTTGTGTCGAGGGTCGCGTGGGTTGAAGACGGGATAATGGGTTAATTCCTCACAAGATGCAGGTGGAGTGGCTGGACTCTCGATCCTAGAATCACCTTGTCAATATGAACTCCTCTCGCCGTTGTGGAATTGGCAAATACCTATTTCTGCTCCTCAAGGGTGAGCGAAGAGCTAGTGACGAAGACAATGTCTGTTTGCCGATGCTCAGGTCCTCAGAAGTCATCTTCTTGGATATCGACACTAGCAGCGGTTCCTCAGCTCAGTCTGGTCCTTGCGCATGCTAGACAGGAAAGAAGACTTGCGTGACTTTTCATACGTCAGAGGAGTAGGTTGATTGAGAAGGATACACAATGTCTGAAATGAAACCTGGTAAATGCACCAATTACTAAGTGATAGGATGGGAGAAACACAAGAGATCACTAAACAGAACCTATACTCCAGTGGCAAATGCAGGGTATCAGATAGTTAGAGATTTTGGCAATGTTGGACAGAAGAAAGTGGTCACTGGAGGCTGCAGCTTCCATATTCACTGCGATTAAAGAATACATTGCACCTGCTAGAAGAGGAAGTTGTGAGGTTAGATTCACATTAGCCACAAAAAAGACTGATACAAACTGTTATATGCCTATAGAACTTCTCTAAATGTCTGGGATCTATTTGTGGCAGGATTTGCCAATTCTCTATTAATATTACAAGAGATTAGGTGGATCATTGATGCTGCTGAAGCTGATGTACAGGATCCTTAGTAGGGACTACGGAGTACTTTGGTGTTGCTCTGCGCCGGCTAGCTGCACCCAGAAGCAATAAGCTCTGAAAATATCTCACACCTTATTAATTATGGGCCATCTTTCTCATCCCTTTTGCCTATCTACAACAGCCTCTAATTGAAATCAACCTGCATCGCTACTTAAAAGAGTTTATCTTCTATCCTGACATATCTCTTTTCGTGTCACCTTGTTCGTTTGTTACGTGCTGTTCCAAGCGCGCCGTTCTCGTCATGGCCGCCAGCCAAGGAGCTGTCTCCTTCGATGCCATCATCCAAGCCGGTAAGGCGTCCTATACGTCTCAGAATCCTCGTCGGAAAATGTGCCTTTCTAATTGCAACCTGAGCATTTAGATCGCAAAAAGAGAAAGAATGAAGAACTTGCGAGCAAAATCCTTGGTAAAAACAGAAAGCCTGTCGCCGCAGGCGCGGGAGCTGGAAGCAAGTCTCAGAAAGCGAAGCCAGGGAGTCTCGCCAGTCGGATTGGTGTCGTAAAGGTATTGTGGAATATGCGCCTTCATACTATTTAGCACACGGTCAAGACTAACATTGGATTACTGTACTATCAGCCTTCCGCATCAGCTACATTGAAAACTACGAAGAATTATCGCACACAGTCAGCGCCGGTAAGAGCAGCGAACTCGCAACCAAAACGCACCAGCAAACGTCGCCCAGACGAGGAACGCCTTCTTTCAGCGCTCAATCCAGCGAGCGGTCAATCAACGGTGCGCGACAATCCTGTTGGTATAACTATTCGAGGATCAGGGTCAGGGTCTTTCGTCGTGATTGGGAGCAATTTCGCTCCACGCACCACAGCAGCAGACATCCAATCCGCTATTGAACCGTTATCGGGACAGATATTGAGCTGTTGGATCACCTCGCAGCATCCTACTGTCACAGCCGAGATCACATTCGCCGATAAATCGTCCGCAGAAAACGCCATCGCCAACTTCCACAACCAAAGGGTGATACTCCCAACTGAATGTTACAATTCCTTTTCACTGACTAACAAACTCAAAGGCTGACGGCAGAATTTTGTCCATGCGGTTCAAGCCCTCCACGGCCGAACCGACACCTTCTCAGCACGTACAGAATCCTCCGTCCTCATTCAGCAATCTACGAGAGCAAGCGGATCGCGAGCGTCGTCTAAACCGGAGAGCGGAACCTGCCGTGCAGAATGGAAGATACGGTTTCGCTGAAGGAGATGACCAATTGCTTCCTCAGGAAGATTTTCGAGGCAATGGCCGTTACAACAGGCGCAATGCGAGAGGCAACCGAGCGTACGGACGAGCTGGCAGACAAACAAACCAGAATACGCAAGAGACTGGACTTTATAGCGATCAAATGATGGTCGATGCACCCAGACAGAACTCTGGTCATAGGGGTGGACGGCACCGATGAACTAGCGCGTTGTGCCTCGAAATGGCCGGGCCATGCTATCACCGAATCTCTTGTTTTTTTCTTTTCTTCAAGGGAAAATCATGTCCTCTTTCCGCACCAGCCCAGTGCTGAGTACAGCAGGGACTTTTCTTTTCACAAACCAGGCTTTCGGGTGCACGCTCTGCGACCAATTTATTCTGTCGATCTTGACGATAAGACGCAATAGTGGAGGTTAATCACTGTAAATTAACGGACAATTGATAAGATAACATCACGTGCTCTGAAACCTTATTGCGGAGAAATTGGAGATATGAACAACGGAGGATGTGGGAATAGCTACGTAGCCTACCTGGAGCAGTCTATCTCACAAGCCGCGTCCTTCTTGAAAATATCTGATCATCATTGAACCTCCCCCGATGCGCACGGGTCATTGACCTTATCAGATTGAAAGGCCGTCCCCAGCCGCACGTGCTTGAGAAGACCGCACTCAAAAGATGAATAGTGCGACGAAGCGTGCTTTGACCCGACATGTTCGAACATATCAGTGTCGAAACCTACGGATAGGGTCGCACCGATGCTCCTCAACATTTGATCAGAGACAGTGGTCTACACCGCTCGCGAAAACTCTAGCGAATGCGATCAAGGTATCTGGACACTCTCTTGCGTTCAGCCTTGCGGCGAGCTCTTGAACTATAGCTGACAAACTGCTTGTTTTTAGGTCACAGGGCCGATCCCGATAGCGGCCTTTATGCGCCAAGTTCTCACATCTCCAGAGGGAGGCTATTACACGACTCGACCTGAGGGCGGCGGCGAAGTGTTCGGAAAGAAGGGAGATTTCGTAACCTCGCCTGAAATCTCACAAGTCTTCGGGGAGTTGGTGGGTATATGGACGATCACAGAATGGATGGCCCAAGGGCGGAAACGCAGCGGGGTGCAGCTCATAGAGGTTGGACCGGGGAGGGGTACACTGATGGACGACATGTTACGTGTGAGTTATTTCGTCCTCGGCAGTCGGATTGGGATGTCTCATGCTGATAGAGCTTCTCGGCTAGACGTTCAGGAACTTCAAGAGCTTTGCGTCGAGTCTCGAAGCTATCTATCTGGTTGAAGCTAGCCCGACGTTAAGAGAGCTCCAGAAACAGCGACTTTGCGGTGACGCGGCTATGGAGGAGACGGATATTGATCACAAGAGCATCAGCAAGTATTTCAATGTTCCGGTGATCTGGGTAGAGGATATCCGATTACTGCCTCATGGTGAGACTGCATTGAGCTTCCAGACTTTTGAAGGGCCAGTTACTGAGACAGTTATGCAGAGGAAGACAAAACACCATTCATTTTTGCCCACGAATTCTTCGATGCACTTCCAATCCACGCTTTCGAGTCCATCCCCCCAGCGCCTGAGAATCAGTCCGAGCAGAACGAGATTGTGACTCCTACCGGCCCTGCGAAGCTGCACCAACCCATGAAACCCGCCAACACCCCCCAATGGCGCGAGATCATGGTTACATTGAATCCCAAAGCAGTCGAAGAGAATCTCGAAGGCGAGCCCGAATTCAAGCTGACACTAGCCAAGGCATCGACTCCGTCTTCTCTTGTCATCCCGGAGATTTCAGAGCGCTACCGAAAGCTCAAGTCTACGCCAGGTGCTACGATCGAAGTCAGTCCGGAAAGCCGCATATATGCATCCGACTTTGCTCGTCGCATTGGCGGTTCGTCACAACCGCCTCGAACTGTGGGCTCGCGGAATGCAGCCGCCGCGCAGCCGAAGCGGGTACCATCTGGAGCAGCGCTGATCATGGATTACGGAACGATGTCGACCATCCCTATCAATTCGCTCCGCGGGATCCAGCATCATCGGAATGTGCCGGCACTCTCATCGCCGGGGCAGGTCGACGTTAGTGCTGACGTTGATTTCATGGCTCTTGCGGAGGCGGCCATTGAAGCTAGTGAGGGTGTTGAGGTCCACGGACCGGTAGAGCAGGGAGATTTCCTGCAGGTCATGGGCATCGCGGAGCGGATGCGGCAACTGCTCAAGGGAGTGCAGGATGAAGAGAAGCGCAAGACGCTCGAAAGTGGGTGGAAGAGATTGATCGAGAGGGGCGGGGGCGGCATGGGAAAGCTCTACAAGTTCATGGCCATCATTCCGGAGAATGGTGGAAGAAGGAGACCCGTTGGATTCGGTGGGACTGTTCAGATGTAACAATTGCAGTAATACCTGCGATTCTTTCTGCGTACTTATGAAGACAACTGTATGATAGATGTATATATAGAAGCGGTATTCACAAGCTCTTAGCGTTTATAGACAAGTGGTTGCGTTAGAAGGCTGTATAAGCATTGCGCCATCGCGTTTGCAGCGTTAGTACCCGCCATATCCCGAAACACCAGTCCAGCGTAGCGTGGAACTGGTTCTGGATCTCACCGGCAGAGACGTATACCCTCTATCCGGCCGCGGTAAACCAGACCCGAGTCCTGCTCGCGAGGCCTGTGAAATCGATGGAAAGTGGTGTATATCGCAATGGGATCACTGTTACGAGACGACCGAGCGTGTCTCAATACTCCCTCCATATATCCTCGACGTACGCCTCTGTCAGCCGGGTGTCTTTACCATATTTCTCCTGCCACTGGACAAACCCGCCCTCGAGGACATAGACCTGTTGCTTCTTGCTCTCTTCAGGACCCAATGCTGCCTCTCGCTCTCGCGCGTAGCGGAGGGCGGCAGATGGTCCGCGCTGTTGGCTCAGAGCACAGTGGAATACCACCTTTTCTTTGTCTTTGA